AGTTATCCATCTTTAGCAGGAATACTGTGCAAATGCTGCTGTCCTGTGTTCTTCTCCATGAGCTCCAGCAAGGGGCATGTGTTTCGATTTGTCCCATTCCTGGTGATAACTCTTATCACTTGATTAAGGTGTCTCGGCTGGGTGTGGTGGCTCACGCCTGTAATCTCAGCACTTGAGGTCAGGCCTATCACCTGAGGTCAGGAATTTGAGACCAGTCTGGCCAATATGGAGAAACCCTGTCTCTACTAAAAATACAAAATTAGCCGGGTATGGTGGCACATGCCCATAATCCCTGCTACTCAGGAGGTGGAGGTAGGAGAATCGCTTGAATGTGGGAGGCGGAGGTTGCTGTAAGCCAAGATCGCACCACTGCACTCCAGCCTTGCCAACAAGAGCAAAACTCCATCTCAAAAAAAGATAGAAAGATATGTTTGCTATGTTTAATCACTGTAAAGTCATGATTTTATACTTGTTGATAAGTTATTCATATAATCATTTTACTGTAAGGTAGAGCTTTTTCTTTTCCCCACTTATTCAAATTGGTAAGGAATGATTCTTATTTGTATCCAGACAGTTGAAACCCACTATTCATAATTATTATTTATTTTGATGTTCAGATTGTTCCAGATAAAGCAAGTGGGACCACTTTTAATCCAGCTTCTGGATCCTTTAGACACGTCATCATCCCTCAAGCACTTCTTACTTTCTGGAATACCAAGATGCTCCAAGTTTATTTTGCATCGTCTCTGCTCCAGTTCTGAAATCAGTCGCTTTTCCTTGGAGCCCTGGTACCTTTTAGTGGAGAATGGTATTCAGAAACCAAGATATGGCTTAGTGGCGTAGGTGTACCCATTGCTACTGGGCATCGTTACTGCTAGGCCTCCCTAGGGGGTAGAGCTCATAGATGTGTGCATGTATATGCATCACACATGTGCACACACACACACACACACCTGTATTCATTTCAGTATGTATCTACATATATTAAAAACCACAAGTTCATCCAGATACCTCCAGTTTCGATCCAACAGCACAGGGTTTACTCTAGTTTCCTCCCTGTCCGTCTTTGTAAGCCTGGCTGCCATTTTCTTCAGCATATTTACATGTTTTATATGTAACTAATCTCCAGCCATGCCAGCCAACCACTCCCCAGCTTTGTGGTGACCTCTTGGGCCACCGTGATCGTTGTGGGCCCTTTGATGCTTTGAAGAATATTATTATTATTATTATTATTATTATTATTTTTGAGACCGAGTTTCACTCTTGTTACCCAGGCTGGAGTGCAATGGCGCGATCTCGGCTCACCGCAACCTCCGCCTCCTGGGTTCAGGCAATTCTCCTGCCTCAGCCTCCCGAGTAGCTGGGATTACAGGCACGCACCACCGTGCCCAGCTAATTTTTTGTATTTTTAGTAGAGACGGGGTTTCACCACGTTGACCAGGATGGTCTCGATCTCTCGACCTTGTGATCCACCCGCCTCGGCCTCCCAAAGTGCTGAGATTACAGGCTTGAGCCACCGCGCCCGGCCCACAATATTATTTTTTTTTAAAGACAGGGTTTCACCATGTTGGTCAGGTTGGTCTTGAACTCACGACCTCAGGTGATCCGCCCGCCTTGGCCTCCAAAGTGCTTGGATTACAGGCGTGAGCCACTACGCCCAGGCCGCTTTGAAGAATTTTTTACGCTTCACCCATTTTTAGTTGTTTTCGACCGGAGGGTTGGCCAGAATGAAATTGCCTGTAGTATTCTCATAAGTTAAACAAAATATATTTTTATGTGTTTGATGAGAAGAAAAAAATGGAAAATTGAAAAGTACTACTTTGGGTGTTGCCTGTCTTCATTTGAAATCTTGCCTGGATCTTTCTTTTTTTTTTTTTTAGACAGATTTTTGCTCTTGCCCAGGCTGGAGTGCAGTGGTGCAATCTCAGCTCACTGCAACCTCCGCCTCCCGAGTTCAAGCAATTCTCCTTCCTCAGCCTCCTGAGTAGCTGGGATTACAGGCCTGTACCACCACACCTGGGTAATTTTTGTATTTTTAGTAGAGACGAAGTTTTATCATGTTGGCCAAGCTGGTCAGGAACCTCAGGTGATCCGCCCACCTTGACCTCCCAAAGTGCTGGGATTTACAGGCGCACACCACCACCCTTGGCTGATTTTTGTTCTTTAAATAAATGTTTTTAAATTTTAAATAATTGAAACCGGGTCTCACTCTGTTGCCCAGGCTAGTCTCAAACTTCTGGTCTCAAGCAATCCTCCTACCTCGGAGGCCTCCCTCCCAAAGTGCTGAGATTACAGGTGTGAGCCAGTATGTCCAGCCTGGATCCTGTTTCGTTGTGGCTCCTCATAAGTTGCCAGCTCTAGACAAAAATCAAAGAGTGAATCACTTTCAATATACCTAATATACAAATGACGGAGGAAAACAGGGTAAGGTCAATTGAAATGCTCACCTCAAAAAGAAGTACCGCACAGCTGGTCACTAGCCTCATCAGTGTTTCTCACACTTCACTGTGTGTATGAAATCACCTGGAGATCTTGTTAAAACGCCACGTCTGAGTCACGGGGGCTGTGGCGGGGCCTGCGAAGCTGCCTTCCTGATGTTTTCAGGTGCTGTGTTGCTGCTGCCATCTGAGGGCAGTGCTTTGAGTAGCAAGTCTCTGGAGTGTCCATCATCCTTACTCCCCTGCTCAGGAGTATATTACATGACACAACCAGCAAACCTTAGACATGTTTTTAAACGTTTTATTATTCTTAATTTACAAACATACACAAGGAGAACCCCTAAGTACCACTGGGATTTACCAATCTTATTGTATAACTTCGCTGCCTCTGAACTTTTTCTTTGTTATTTGAAAGCAAATCCAACCATTATATTATTTCAGCTTGTGCCACTACCAGATAAGAATAATAATAAGAAAAAAAAAAGTATCATTATCACACAAAACGAACAAGACTTACAACACAAATTAACAATAACTCCTTGATTATCTCATAGTCAGTCCATACACTGTATTCTCAGCTGCACAGTTTTTGAGCCTCTTCCTAAGCAATAGCTGATCTTCCTGGTCAGCTCCTCCAGGGGCTCAGGTTCACTCCTTTTTGCTGAACACCTTCTGTTGCTCTTCTCCTTGGGCCTGGAGCTTTCCTTAGGGGCTGAGTACATGGGTGTATTCCTCCTACAATCATATTTTATGGCCTGCCAATTTGTGACTGAGGGGAGGGTGTCTCTGTTGACTAACACACAATGCTTTAGAATAAGGCAAAAGCTTTAGAATCACGCCTTCTGAGTCTGAGCTCTACCTTCCTGGGTCTCTTCCCAATCCTTTAGCCTTAAGGCTAGGACAGTAAACAACAGCCTGGACATGAGGCCCAGAATATCAGCCCTGCCTCCGGTTGGCAGCCCAGGTGGCCTTGACGAAGATAGGGGCTTGGGTTTGTTTCAGGAGAAGCCTGTGGGACCAGGCATCTCAAAGTCTCTGAGAGGGAAAGTGATGGAAACTAAGTCAGATGAGATGACTGCCATGTACCCTACAGCTGAGGGTTGGGGTGGGAGGGGTGACACAAACGGCAGGGAGCTGCTGGGAGACTGAGCCCTGGGTGCCTGGCCTGGCCGGTGCGCATACCCATTGGGGCACCGCAGGGGCCTGTCCAGCCTCTGGTTGGAGGGCGTGGCCAGGACAAAAATTTAGCTTCAAATTCCTCTGATTTTTCCCAGATATCTTCCTATTGCCAGGATATCACTACATTTTATTTTATTTTATTTTTTGAGACAGAGTTTCACTCTTGTTACCCATGCTGGAGTGCAATGGTGCAATCTTGGCTCACCGCAACCTCCGCCTCCCAGGTTCAAACAATTCTCCTGCCTCAGCCTCCTGTGTAGCTGGTATTACAAGCATGCACCACCACACCTGGCTAATTTTGTATTTTTGGTAGAGACAGGGTTTCTCCATGTTGGTCAGGCTGGTCTCAAACTCCTGACCTCAGGTGATCCACCCGCCTCAGCCTCCCAAAATGCTGGGATTACAGGTGTGAGCCACCTGGCCTGGCTGATCTCGCTACATTTTAAATCAGTGTATTAATTGGTCGTGCAATTCAGCGAGATGTGTGGTTCTCTGACTCTGCCTCTCCAATCCCTGGCTATAGGCAGAAAGGACTTCACCTAACAAAGGAACAGAGTGAAGCTTGTGCCCCCTCTGCCATTGACACCCCCTCCAGCCCACCCCCGGCTTGCATGTATCTTGTCTCTCTTGCAGCCTGTCCCTGAAACCCATGAGAAGTAGCCAGCACATTCTATCTCGGCATTCTCCATTGGACCCTGAAGTTCAAGAGAGTATGATGTGTGGTTTCCTGGCCAGCTGCTTCATGACCAAATAGCAAGAAATGCCAAACACTCAGCCTAGAATAGGAGGATGATCCCTCCCCTGCTCAGCTGGCACCATGTAACAGGATTCCGCAAGGCTGCGCTGAGTTTCCAAGTTTCAAATCCTTTTAGGCAGGGCTCTTCTGGCCGTGTGGGACAGGATTCAAACTCAACGTTTTTTCAGCCAAAAGGGGGATTGATTGGAAAGATGTGGGCGTGACACAGAACAGCCTGGTGTTGGGAAAGGCCGGAGTAAGCTGGGGTTTCCCCGCTAGTCTTTCCTTTCCCCACCTCTTTTCTTTTTTTGAGACAGAGTCTCACTCTGTCGCCCAGGTTGGAGTGCAGTGGTGGGATCTTGGCTCACTGCAACCTCTGCCTCCCGGGTTCAAGCGATTCTCCTGCCTTAGCCTCCTGAGTAGCTGGCATTACAGGTGCCCACCACCATACCTGGCTAATTTTTGTACTTTTAGTAGAGATAGACAGGGTTTCACCATATTGACCAAGCTGGTCTCGAACTCCTGACCTTGTGATCCAGCCTCCCAAAGTGCTGGGATTACAGGCATGAGCCACTCTGCTCAGCCTTGCACTATTAATAGAGATGAGGTTGCACCATGTTGGCCAGGCTGGCTCTCAAATTCCTGACTTCAGGTGATCCACCTACCTTAGCCTCCCAAAGTGCTGGGATTACAAGCATGATCTCACTGTGTCCTGCCTCCACCTCTTTTCTTGTGGGTTTCTTTCTCTCTCCGCAGACCCCACAGAGTCACCTGGGCTGGAGGCCTCATAGAGGTGCCCTCGGTGCTGACCACATACTGCAGTCCCCTGAGAAGCTACATGACCTCAGGTGCCCAGGTCCACCCAGGACCAATGAAGTCAGGATGTCTGGGGTTGGAGCGTGGGCATTGCGCCCCTTAGTGACTCAAATGTGCACACAAGGTTGGAAACCACTACACTATAGCTTCAGGCACCCAGAGGAGACACTCTTGCCGTTCTCACTTCATGATTAGAGCGGCAGGACTCTGGGGAACCTGTTTAAGCCAGGTGGCCACAGCCCTCCAACCATAGGCTGGACGAGCCCCTGCAGCACCCCGACTGGGTGTGTGCACTGGCCCGGCCAAGCTCCGAGGGGTCAGTCCCCCAGCGGCTCCCTGTCATTTGTGTCACTTCCTCCCACCCCCACCCTCGGCTGCAGTATACATGGCAGTCGTCTCCGCTGACTTGGTTTCCATCACTTTCCTTCTCAGAGATAAACTCGAAGGAGAAGCTGAGCTGCATTCTTGAGATCTGGGGAGTTAATGGGAGATGTGGTCACAAGACAGGTGGTGGAGGAGGCAAGAATGAAGCTGGCCCAGCAAGGTGCCTGGCAGGGAAAGGGAGGCTCAGTGACGGATGTGCTCTCTCACGACGCCTGCAATGCAGTGGCCAGGGAGACTCAGAGTCCCGGAAGAGGGTTTGGGGTGGGAGAGGCCTGAGCATGAGGGGCGGGGCTGGTACACTCTGGTTCTGGGAGGTGTTGGTCAAAGGACTGCAGCCTTGGGACTGATGGGGCTGGTTTCCCTACATTCCTCTCAGGCCCTTCCCCCTCTATACTAAGCAGGGATGGCACCTGGACTTCAAGACCAGAAGCCCTTCTAGCTCTGACTGCACTGCTAGGTGCAGCACACAGCTCCAGCCACAGTCTCTGGGCAGCCTTAGGCTGCCCCCTCACCACTCTGGTTCTAGGGCAGAGATCTTGGCCCTTCGCTGAGCTGGAGAGGAGGAGTGGTAGGTGTGGAAACGAGGGGCAGGACTGGGGTGAGCAGAGCTGGGGTCTGCAGAGCTTGCTCAGGACAGTCCTAATGCCTGCAAGGTCCTAATGTCTGCCCTGCATTCCCTCTTCCATGTGGCGGGCTCCTACACTGTGTCCCTTTACCTACCTCTGATCCTCAGCATCCAGTTGGAGAGCCTTCTAGGAATTGTCGCTTCCCTTAGGAGGGCTCTCAGGGGTGAACCAGGTAACAGGGGCAGGGTTTACCTTGTGGCCTATGTCCACACCAGGGGCTCCCCGCCCCTGGGGCCTGCTTTCAGAGCTGGGCCAGCCTCAAGGGCAGCCTCCAGGGTGGGTGGGGTCTCCCATTAAGGAGACCTTGTGCCAAGGCCAAGGCCAGGCTTGGGAGTGGGGTCCCTAGGAAAGGAGTAGGAGCCCTGAATTATTTCCTGCTCAGCCTTGGATGTGCTGTGGAACCCACCCTGGCCTGGTGTCTCCTCATCTTTCTGCCCAAGAGCCTCAGGGGTCAGCACTGACCACTCTGTCTCAGTCCCCGCCCAAGCCATGCCAAGGACAGACCAAATGACACCATGATTGGGGCTGGATGTTCACTTCTCTTTCCAAAAAATATGAAACACACAGTCTAGGTATGGCAGAGGACAGAGCCTGGTTGGGGATTGGACATTACACACCCAGGGGGCCCTTGGCGGAGGCGGGCAATTTAACAACTGGTCTGAAAGTCAAAAAAGAGAGAGCTGGTTAGTGGATAGCAGTCGGGGTGGGGGCAGGGGCTGTGCGTTCAGGCCTGGACACTGGGGACTGGCCAGCACGGCCAGACATTGGGCCTCACAGCAGCCCTGCCTAGGACCCATTCCCATGGGTGGGGGCGCCGTGGTCCCACCTAGCCATCTGTGTGGTCCTCCACACTGGAGGAACCTGAGACCTGAACTCAGACCCTCCCTGTACCCGTGTGAACATTCAGCATCCCGGCACTGCCGTGTGGGGTTGCAGTGAGGAGCCTTTGGGATTGGGATGAAGGGTTCTGCTCACCCCAAGGACCTGAATACTAAGGATGTCTTGGCCACTGCTGTATCTCCAGGGCCTAGCACAGAGCAGACATCCACGTAGCTCTTCAGTGAGTAAACAAAGGAGCAGGTGAAAAGGCAGCAGCTGGGCTGGTGCCTGAGGGCCTGTCCCCAGGGACACATAGCTGGTGCCCACGAGGCTGTGCACACAGCACCATGCCTGGACCTGCATCTCTGTGTGTGTGCGTGGGGGCTGGGTCCTTGCCTCTGGCCTTTCTCTGAGGTTCTGGGTCTCAGATTGTAGGGTAGGTGCTTCGTGTTGAGGACAAGCTGCTCAGAGCACCAGACTGAGCTCTGGGGACATCCTGTGCTCTACTGGCCCTGCCCTGGGTGCTGCGAGGTTGGTGAGGGGTGCCGCTGGACGGGGGGCTGACCAGGGCAGGCGGAGCTCAGACGTACTCTCGGGCAGCAGTGGAGGGTCCGGGCCGGTAGGGCTGCGGGCTGCTGTTGGGTCTCTCTGGCTCCGGGCACGTGCAGCAGAGGAAGGAGCCCCCCAGCACGGCCAGGCCAGCTGAGGCCCAGCCCACAAACAGGGCTGGACCAAATTCATACCTGCAAGGGGTAGAGAGAATGGCATCAGGTGTGGCTGCTGTCTTAGGGTGTCCCCAGCTCCTATTCTGGCAGAGGAAGGGCAGGGTGTGCGGAGCTGGAGGCTGGGGCCTCACAACCTCCTCCATCTCTCCAGATAAACTGGGGTGAATGCGCTTCCTTTCTCCCTCTCCCAGCCCAGAATATCAACACCACACTGGGTGAGCCTGGGACCAAGCTGGGCATGAAGGCTGGAGTCTTGGCCTCACGCTTGTGCTCTGAGCAGCCTGGGCTCATTTCCTGATCCCGCCAGTGGAGGGGGCATGGGAGGGCCTGAGACGGCCTGCCCTGGAGGAGCGGAGCAATCCCTGCCATCTTTTTTCCCAGTCCCAGTCTGGCCTGCTGAACTCCCAAGCCAGGAGGGCTCCCACTGCCCTTGGGAGAAGCCCACACCCCTCCACCTGGGGCTCTGGGCTCTCCACACCCAGGCCCTGCTGGCCCGTCCAGCCCCGCTCCTGGTCTCACTGCCTCGGTGCCTTAAAACACTGGCACCCTCTGCTGGGCACTAAGCCTGCCACTCTCTGTGCCTTCCCAGCTCCTTCTCTGCCTTCAGAGACCAGTTCAGATGCCACCTCCTCATGGGGGCTTTCCTTGACATCTTCTCTGTGTTTACCTCGCCCCTTGTGCCGACTCCACTGCCACACTCTCTCCAGGAGGCCTCAGCCCCCTGCCCCAGGAAGCCCCCTGAGGGCAGACAGAGCATGGGATTCGTCAGTGTCCCCAGGACCCAGCACAGGGCCTGGCAGCCCCCAAGTGGCCTTGGGGACTGTTGAAGGGATGGGGGCTGAGTCCTATCCTGACATGCCTGAGCTTTACCTTGTCTGACGGACTTTGTGGCTGTGGCTGCCTGCCCAGGGAACAAACTTTGTACTTGAGATCTCCTCCTTTCCCGCCCCTCTCCATACATCTGCCTCCTCCAGGGAGCCCTCACAATTACAACAGCCCAGGCATCTTTTCTCAGCCTCTCCCCACCCCAGGGCCCAAAGCCCACTGGGACATCTGGGTTTGAGGCTGTTCCATTCTCTGCTTCTGGCTGGGCTGAGAGGTGAGGGAGGAGCCAGGGTGGGCCCAGGCCTTTCGCAGAGCCTCCTCTTCAACTCCTGTGCCCACAGCCTTACAAGTCCTGGTCATCTAGCTTCTGAATAGCAGCCTGCTTTCCACTGCTCCCTCCCTGGTGCCCCAAACTCTCTGCTCAGACCTTCGGGACAGCCACCTTCCTGGTGTCACCCCCTCCCCACCATTCCACACATCACAGCCAGAGGGACTGCCACTGCCTCCGCCCAGATGAGGAACAAAAATCTGCCTACGGCTGCAAGGACCTCTACGATCTGCTCTTATGCTCAGGTTTCTTCCTGGCCCAGAGTAACTGCTGCCTCCTGCAGGAAGTCATCTCAGCTCTGCTGCCACCAGCAGAAATAAAAACAGCTCAGGCTTACCAGGCACTGTCCAGGGCTGAGGCACTGTGCCACACCCTCACCTGCATCTTGCTGAATGCTTGTGTTGAGGACAAGCTGCTCAGAGCACCAGACTGAGCTCTGGGGATATCCTGTGCCCTACTGGCCCTGCCCTGGGTGCTGTGAGGCTGGCTGGATGCTGGGCAAGGGGGCCCCTGGGCGGGGGGCTGGCCATGTGTGAACTGGTGCTCAGGTTCTGGCTCCATTTTACGGAGGAGGAAACTAGGCACAGAAGGATTAAGTAACTTGCCCAGGTGATGCAGTGCACGCAGAGCTGCGATTGATTGATTGATTTTTTTTTTTTTTTTTTTTTTCCGAGATGGAGTTTGGCTCTTGTTACCCAGGTTGGAGTGCAATGGCGTGATCTCGGCTCACCGCAACCTCCGCCTCCTGGGTTCAGGCAATACTCCTGCCTCAGCCTCCCGAGTAGCTGGGACTACAGGCATGCGCCACCATGCCCAGCTAATTTTTGTATTTTTAGTAGAGACGGGGTTTCACTATGTTGACCAGGATGGTCTCGATCTCTTGACCTCGTGATCCACCCGCCTCAGCCTTCCAAAAGTGCTGGGATTACAGGCGTGAGCCACTGCGCCCAGCCGGGATTGATTGATTTTTTTGAGACAGAGTCTCACTCTGTCACCCAGACTGGAGTGCAGTGGTTCGATCTTGGCTCACTGCAACCTCTGCCTCCTGGATTCAAGCTATTCTCCTGCCTCAGCCTCCGAAGTAGCTGGGATTACAGGCGCCCATCACCAACCCCAGCTAATTTTTGAATTTTTAGTAGAGATGGGGTTTTACCATGTTGGCCAGGGTAGTCTCGAACTGCTGACCTCAGGTAATCTGCTCACTTCAGCCTCCCAAAGTGCTGGGATTACAGGTGTGAGCCACTGCACCCATCCAAAGCTGGGAATTGAAAGCCAGAGCCAGGAGACTTAGGTCCTTAGAGCGTCCTTGCTGCTCCTGGGAGCCTGCCACAGGCCTCCTGCCCCTGTGGAGGGTCCCACCACACTCCACCTGGCTCCCCTCTTTAGAGCTTCTTGGACGGCAGCTGGATCCCATCCCTCACTTCCTCCTCCAGGTGATCCAGTGGACAAAGCTCAGTGGCCCCAGAGGAGGTGAAGCAAGAGACCCAAGCCCTGACACCCACCTGGCATTGACAGGTGTGCTTGGGTTGAAGAACTCCTGGGTCACCAGGGTGGCATACCATGAGACGGCAGTCAAAGTGCAGAGGCCTAAGGATGAAACAGAGGGGCACTCAGCTCTGCTCTGTATCTGTCCCACCCTGAGGCCACTGGTGCTGGGGCTGCCTGCCATGGCTGGGATTGTGGAGGAGGGAGGGGCACTCACCTGCCAGGATGAAGAGAGCACCCCCGGAGATGGCGACACGGCCCTTGGCGATGGGGTTGCTGTCTCCCACCCGTGTGCACTTCATGCCAACCACACTGAGGACCATGGCCACGAAGCCCAGGAGCACGGCCACCACCATCAGGGCCCGTGCTGACTGGATGTGACCTAGGGCAGGCAGGGTGGCACTGAGCGGGGCTGGCAGGGATGGGGGTTGGGTCGGTGCCTGGAAGGAGCCCAGCTTGAGAGGGAGCTGGCCTGGGGGTCAGACCACCTGCTGGCAGGTGCAGATAGTGCGGAGTGACAGCCCCTGCGTGAGGACAGGGCATGGGGGTGAGAGTCCCCTTCACTGTCAACACCGTTGCTCCGCTTGCCCTTGCAGACTTTTCTGGTAGTTTGATTCTGCTGCTGCTTTCTGGCCTGGGGACTCCCTTTTGGGCTTGGCCCACTCTCCTAAGCAGTGGAGGGCAGCTTCTCCAGGGGCCCCCAGAAGGAAGAGCTGAGGGTATCTGGGGCCCAGCTCGACCCAGCCTGAGCCCCGCAGCAACTCCTCCCCAGCAGCCATTCAGACAACAGTCACCTTCCCCTCTGTCCATGGCAGCTGGAAGCTTGCCTCTCCATGGGTGCATGGGTCAGTCCTGGACCCTGGGGGGTGCTTAGGAGACTTGGGTCCCTCAGCAAGGCTAGATGATGACCTGTCTGAACTGGCACAATGGCGCTGATTGATGGTCATGGGGAGCAGATTGCCCCCAGAGGGGTCCTAGGCAGATTGCAGGTGGGCCACCTCCACCCCAGAGTTAGAGCTGTAGCAGTCCCCACACCCCAGAAGGAGAGGGACGGCATGCAGATGCACGTGTCTGTGCATGTGCATGTGTGTGTGCATGCGTGTGTGTGTGCATGCGTGTGTGTGCACCCATATGCTGGCATACTACCCTGGGGACAGGAGTGCACGCAGTGTGTGTCTGTCTACTGAGTATGGGGGAAGGTGGAGGAAGGGTCTTAACTGAGCCTGTCAGAGTGCCACAGGTATTAGCATTCCCCTTGAGAGATGAGAACATCACAATGCCAAGAGGGTTGGTGACTGGTTCAAGGTTATGGTGGCAGAGCGGGGATCCGGACCCACAGCTGCCAGACCCTACAGCCCTCCCTTCCCACAGGGCAGCAGGCTGGCCTGGACTGTCGGATGGGCACAGGGCAGTAGTGGAGGATGGTGGAGCAGGGGCTGGAGGATGGAGCCCAGCACAGACAGCAGACTGCGAGGAAAGCTCGATCCAGAACCCCCTGCTGTTCTCACCTCCCACCTCCCACCCCACTGGCCTGAGGCCTACCGTCCAGGGCGAGCAGCGAGTCGTAGAGCTTGCACTGCACCTGCCCGGTGCTCTGGGAGGCGCAGGACATCCAGAGCCCTTCATAGAGGCCCACGGCGGTGATGATGGCGTCGCCTGCGTAGGAAGACTGCTTCCACTGTGGCAGGGCCGTGCTAGCGATGATGCCCACCCAGCCACCCAGGGCCAAGAAGTAGCCCAGGAGCTGGAGGCCTGAGTTGGCCATGGCCCAGGGGAGGGGGCCAAGGGTCCCAGGACTCAGGGCTGGGCCAGGGTCCCAGCAGGGGCTGTGGTCATGGCCAGGTGGGAGGAACAGCTGGACAGAGGGAGCTGCGAGAAGGAGGGTCAGAGGCAGGGAAGGAGAGGTGATGGGGCGGCAGCGGCTGGAGCAAAGGCAGTGGCTCTGGACTCCAGAATGCAGGGGGAGGCCCAGGGGCTGGAAAAGGCCAGGGCCCGCCCACAGTAGCCGCCTAAGCCAGAGCAGGGTCCCCAGCAAAGCTCATGCCCAGCCCCCTAGGGGCGGGGACCGGCCCACGGCCCAGGTGGTGTCCCTGACCCGCCCCAGTTCCCCAGGGATAGGGAAGGGAGGGGCTGAGAGGAGTGACCCAGCTGCCTTCAGGGACTCTCCCACCAGGGAAACCCCTTTAGGAACCTGATTCAAGTGCCCTAAAATTCAAATAATCCGTCACCCAAACACCAGCCCTGGGAGAATGGACTTTGCTCTTGCAGGGCTGATCTAACCCTTGGGATTTTCTGCCTTTTGACTTTAGAACAGAAGGGAAAGGGATGCCAGCTTGCAGCAGGTAAAACTAGAGTTAGACATCAAGGAGAACTTTTTGGCAGAGGATCTGAAGCTAGATGTAGGCAGATGGAGCTAGGGGTGGCGTGTTGGGAAGGGGTCATGGGTAGCTGGGAGCTGTGTGTGCCAAAAATCAGGAAGGCCAGACCAGGAAATATGTACTGTGGGGTCTTTTTGAGATCTGAGGGGGACAGAAAAGGGGCCCTGTCAAAGCTGGGCCAGCGCTGGCTGCCGGCCAGCAAGGGGCCCGGTGGGGAGACAGCCCCGACCTTTTGGCATCAGCCTGAAGGAAGGCGGATTGCTCAGCCCTTTAATCCCCTTGCTGGCTGGCTTAGCAGCTCCTGCTGGGACCTGGAACACTGGGCCCTGGCCCCTAGCTCTAGAGCAGCCTGGCTCAGAGCAGCGGCCTTTGCACATTCCTGGGGTTCAGGCTGCCCCCTCCTAGCACCCCCACCTCTGTCTCCTCTCTCCCAGTCTCTCTCTCAGTCCTCAGGAGTAGGGGAATGTTTAACTCTCTTCGACCTCATTAGCAATCCCCTCACGTTCAATTGGGCCCCACTGCAGTGTAGGTGGAGGAGGAATGTCACAACCCTGCTCCCACTCCTGCCAGCCTCCGGCCGCCCCCTCCGTCCCCAACAGCCCACCCACCTTTCCTGGACTACACTGGGGGAAGGCAGGGTCCTGCTGCAGACCCCTGTTGGCTTCCTCCCCGACAGCCCCAACCCCCCTCTGCAGGGACAAGTCCCCAGCCCGCTGTGCTCCCTCACATTCTTCACGTGGCTATGCAAACGAGAGGGTGCCAGGCGCTGAGCAGACAATGGCAGCCCTGTGCGCCCGCCCAGGGCGTAGGACTCTGGTATGGCCTGCAGCTCTGGCCAGAGCTGGGGGAGTGGTCTGCCGTCTGAGGGTCAAGGGTAGGCACTGCTTGGCCTGTGGTGCCGCACATCTGAGGCCCTCTGTGCCGGGAGGGTCAGAGTCATATGGATCCCGGCACACACAGACCTGCTTCCTGGATGATCTGTGGGTCCCAAAGAGCAAATGGGGTCTACGACAGTGGCAGACAACTAAGTCCTGAGCTCAAATTCTTCTGCCACAACGACAAGACAGTAGGACCAAGGGAGCCTCCTCCATCCTGCTGGGGCCGCAGTGGGCACGCTGTGACCGGTGCGTTAAGCGTGCAGGGTTGCATGCAGGCAGACAGGGCTCCTATCAGCAAGGAGCCCAAGGCAGAGGGAGGTAACAGGCGCACGGCTAGGAAGCAGCGGCAAGGGCTTCCCACTTGAATCTGTGTGGTGCTGGCCCCCATGGTCTCTCCCACACTCCTTCCCTTTTGAGAGCAGCACCGTGTCCAGTTTGAAGGGGGGCAGCAGGCAGTCACAAGACACTCTCCTGAGGTGACTTGAGTGACTGTGGTGTCTCAGGGTCCTCACTCTAAATGGAGGGTCTGCTTCATGGAGTTGCGGTGGTCTGTTAAAGTAATCAGTGTCTGCAGAGGGCAGGGGCCTGGTGCTGGGTGGCTGTTCTGCACACATTTCTCCAAAGGCGAAGCCCTCCTCTCCACGCTGGGGTTTGGCCCCTTTTCCCTACCATCTGCAGGTGCTCTTGCTGTAGGAAAGATCTAGGGGCCATTCTGGTTTCAGGGGGACTTGGGTGAGGAGCCCAGAGGCCAGGCAGAAACATGCCTCAGAGACCACGGGCTGCAGCCCCCTCCCTTTACAAATTGAGAGCCAAAGAGGGGAAGGGAGCTGTGGTCCACAGGGCTCCAGAGCCAGCAGGAGGCTCATCCTAGGCATTCCCAGAGCCTCTTTGTGATCTAGAACAGTATTCTCCTCTTCCTCTGAAGAGCTTCTGCCTATCCCTTCTCTTTGTTATTTGAGGCTTTGAGTCTTCTACCAAAATATTCTCTCCTACCCTGATGGCCTTCCCTCACTCTTGTTCCAAAGCCTTTCGGAATTCAGATTCCACTTCTGGAGTGGCATTCCCTAACCTGGCACAGCTTCTTCACCCAGGGCTCCTACCACTCCTGGTGCCCCTCTTGCAGTCCAGTGACTCCCAGGCATGCGGGGAGAACAGGAAGGCTCAGGGTCCCAGCCCAGCCTCCATTAAGAGCTCACTGAAACTGCCCTAGGTGGCACATCACACCGTGCTTTCACTTACACTACAAGAAGCCTAGAGTTGTAGCTTTAACTCTGTCATTGAAAAGCTACGTGACATTAGGCAAGCCCTCAGCTTCCCTGGGCCTGGTTTATCCACTGGAAAGTAGGGATAATAACACTTGCCCTGTCTGATGCATGAGGGAGTTTACAAGGATCAGATGTTAGATGAGAAATGCCATCTGAAAGTGTAAAATGGCCAGGCACAGTGGCTCACGCCTGTAATTCCAGCACTTTGGGAGGCTGAGGCAGGTAGATCATCTGAAGTCAGGAGTTCGAGACCAACCTGACCAACATGGTGAAACCCCATCTCTACTAAAAATACAAAAAATTAGCTAAGGGTGGTGGCATGTGCCTGTAATCCCAGCTACTCATGAGGCTGAGACAGGAGAATCGCTTGAACCTTGGTGGTGGAAGTTGCAGTGAGCTGAGATCGCCCCACTGCTCTCCAGCCTGGGTGACAGAGCGAGACTCTGAAAAAAAAAAAAAAAAAAAAAAAAACAAGCATAAAACGCCTGCAGAACTGCAGCGAATGAAAGCTCTGCTCCAAAAAGACTCCCCACACAGGCCTGCCCCTCCAGCCATCGTACCCCAGGAGTGGGCAGACTGCCTGTGGCTGAAGACCCGCTGCCACCGTTTCCTCTGCAACACTGCCTGACCGAGAGCTGGCCTTGCTAGGTATGTGTTGATCATTGACTGCTTGGTATGAGGATTCAATGTTTTTGCCTCCCTCCCTGTGAAAAATCGGACACCTTTCCACTGCCCTCTCTCATTGCCAGTGAGGAGGGTCTGATTCAGTCCTTAGCAATCTGGCACCTTCTCTGAGATCATCATTTGAAATTTTGGAGTTTTAATTACCCTCCCAACTCTAGAGTCTGAGATTCCCAGAACTATAAGCTTGGAATGGAGACTACTTGCCTCAGGGCGCACAGTAGAAAGCAATACAGCTATGTGGCCACCCCTGACAATTCTGCCTGCCCAGGCACGGCTAAGCATCCTGATCTGCAGTCCCATCATACTCTTGGCATATTTCCATTCGCTGCGCTTAGCACATCGTTTATCTCCTTCCTGAGGTCCCTGAGCACCTTGAGGCTGCACTAGCAGCCACATTTTAGTGTTCTACCCTCTTGCCTGGGCCAGGCGCCTCTGTGACACATGTAGTCGTCCCATTTGCCTTCTTTCCTCTGCTAGCCACACTTTTTACAGGATCTGTCTCTTGATGACCCTGCTGAGAGCTCTGCTAGATGCCTGGGGTACCAGAGACCAGCAGCGTCTTCCATATCCAAATCTTCCCCATGTTGGAGGAATTGCCTCTTATTCCCTCTGATCCTCCCATGGACTCTCTCCTATCTTCTCAAGCAGTTGTCTTCCCATTGCTCACAGGCCCTGGCACATGCGTTACCAAACACAGACCCAAATCACAGTTGCATCTCAGCCGGCCTGCCATCACCCCATGCTTCCAGGAGGACTCACCCCACTCTAATTACATACACTTATCTTGGGCCTGCTGCCTTGAAAACGTCTGGCCTTTTGTGAGCTCAATTAAGAGGCTGCTGCCTGTATCTGATTAGCATAAGTTGAAACGGTAAAGGTCATCTGCCTTGATGTGGAAACTTCCGGAAAACCAGAATTAGGCTGATACAGTCTTCTGTAATACCGATGTCTACCATGGGCTAAGTGTTGTGCTGGTTGCTTTGTAAGCATTCCTGAGTTCATCGCCTCAACCATCCTGGGAGCGAGGAGATACACGCAGGTTCCCTAACACAACTCCAAGCGGTGAAAGTGGCAGTGTCACCCGGCTCAGTGTGTGGGTAAAGTTCATGCTCTTTGCACTAATGTGCTCCTCTCTGTATGCGGAGTCCACCCAAATAGGACAGCAGGGATCAAGCATGATAAAAGGAATGACTTATCTTGACTGGATCATTCCCATCAGCCAGCAAACACGCAGTGCTCTCTCCCAGCTCAAAAAATAATCCTTTCCTAAAAAACAATTTTTCCTTTTTTTTTTTTTTTTTTTTTTGAGATGGAGTTTCGCTCTTGTTACCCAGGCTGGAGTGCAATGGCGCGGTCTCGGCTCACCGCAACCTCCGCCTCCTGGGTTCAGGCAATTCTCCTGTCTCAGCCTCCTGAGTAGCTGGGATTACAGGCACGAGCCACCATGCCCAGCTAATTTTTTGTATCTTTAGTAGAGACGGGGTTTCACCATGTTGACCAGGATGGTCTCGATCTATCGACCTCGTGATCCACCCGCCTCGGCCTCCCAAAGTGCTGGGATTACAGGCTTGAGCCACCGCGCCCGGCCTCCTTTTTTTTTTTTTTTTTTGAGACCGAGTTTCGCTCTTGTTACCCAGGCTGGAGTGCAATGGCGCGATCTCGGCTCACCGCAACCTCTGCCTCCTGGGTTCAAGCAATTCTCCTGCCTCAGCCTCCTGAGTAGCTGGGATTACAGGCACGCACCACCATGCCCAGCTAATGTTTTGTATTTTTAGTAGAGACGGGGTTTCACCATGTTGACCAGGTTGGTCTCGATCTCTCGACCTTGTGATCCACCTGTCTCGGCCTCCCAAAGTGCTGGGATTACAGGCTTGAGCCACCGCGCCCGGCCCACAATTTTTCCTTTTTAATAGAGGTACGGTCTTGCTGTGTTGCCCAGGTTGGTCTCGAACTCCTGGGCTCAGTGATCCCTCTACCTTGGACTCCCAAAGTGTTGCGATTACAAATGTGCACCACTGTACTCAGCCCAATAAATTTTTTTTTTAATTGAATTTTTTTTTTTTTTTTTTTTTTTTTGAGACCAAGTTTTGCTCTTGTTGGCCAGGCTGGAATGCAATGGTGCGACCTCAGCTCACTGCAACCTCTGCCTCCTGGATTCAAGCAATTCTCCTGCGTCAGCCTCCTGAGTAGCTGGGATTACAGGCGCCTGCCACCACAGCCAGCTAATTTTTGTATTTTTCGTAGAGACGGGGTTTCACCACGTTGGCCAGTCTGGTCTCAAACTCCTGACCTCAGGTGATCCGCCCTCTTCAGCCTCCCAAAGTGTTGGGATTACAGGCGTGAGTTACTGTGCCTGGCTGTCATTTTATTTTATTTTTGAGACGGAGTTTACTCTTGTTACCCAGGCTGGAGTGCAATGGTGTGATCTCGGCTCACCGCAACCTCCATCTCTTGGGTTCAAGCAATTCTGCCTCAGCCTCATGAGTAGTTGGGACTACAGGTGTGCGCCACCATGCCCAGCTGATTTTTTGTATTTTTAGTAGAGACGGGGTTTCACCATGTTGACCGGGATGGTCTCGATCTCTTGACCTCGTGATCCACCTGTCTTGGCCTCCCAAAGTGCTGGGATTATAGGCATGAACCACCGCGCCCAGCCTATTTTTTTTTTGCGACAGAGTCTCGCTCTGTTGCCCAGGGTGGAATGCAATGGAGCAATCTCGGCTCACTGCAACCTCTGTCTCCCAGGTTTAACCGATTCTCCTGTCTCAGCCTCCTGAGTAGCTGGCATTACAGATACCCACCATGATGCCCAGCTAAGTTTTATATTTTTAGTAGAGACTGGGTTTCACCAGGTTGGTCAGGCTGCTCTCGACCTCCTGACCTTGGGTGATCCGCCTGCCTTGGCCTCCCAAAGTGCTGGGATTACAGGCACGGTCTACCATGCCCAGCCTTGTTCTTTCTTTGAGACATGGTCTTGCTCTGTTACTCAGGCTGGAGTGCAGTGGGGCAGGCTTGACCTCCTGGGCTCGTGATCCTCCTACCTCAGCCCCCTTAGTAGTTGGCACCACAGGTGTGCATCACCATGCCTGGCTTTTTTTTTTTTTTAATGTTTTATTTTTTTAGGGGTTTCCCTGTGTTGACCAGGCTGGTCTTAAACTTCTGAGCTCAAGTGATCCACCTGCCTTGGCCTCCCAAACTGCTGGGTTTACAGGCGTGAGCTACTGAGCCTGGCCTAGGCTGCTTCTTGATGTCTTTTCTCACACATCCAATCTATCAGCAATGCCTGTTGGCTCTACTTTAAAAATAGGCCCCAGACACCCCTGACAATCCACCACTCTCTTTTATTTATTTGTTTTCAGAGTTGGGATCTTGCTTTCTTGTGCCAGCTGGAGTGCTGTGGAGCTCACTGCAGCCTCGAACTTCCAGGCTCAAGCGATCCTCCTGCTTCAGTCTCCCAAGTAGCTGGGACTACAGGCACGCATCATCTCTCCTGGCTAATGTCACCACACTCTTTCTTGCCCAATCTACAATGCCACATTGGCTTCCTTGTTTTTCCTCCACCTTGGGCCCTGACTTATTTTCTACCTCAAAGGATTTTACACACACACACACACACACACACACACACACACACACACACACACAAATTTACATGTGTATCTGTCTCCCCTACAAAGTACAAGCTGTATGAAGATGGGGGCTTGTTTTGTTCACCACCACATTCCCAGCACCAGCCACTTAGCTGGTGCTCAGTAAATACATATTTGTTGATGGAATAAGTGAACACTCAGGTGCAGGTTCCTACGTGGAAGGCCCTATAGCATCTTGAGCACAATAAAAGCTCTGGCCCTAGTACCAGGGATGTGGCCAGAGGAGCTGAATCTCCATTTCCAGTGTTTCCTAGAGTGTGCTGTCCTGCACGGGAAGGCTGAGAGACAGGACGCTGAGGCCAGACGGCAGAGCAGGAAGCATGTGGCTGACATGGGGGCGACGTGCCAGAGCACTGCTGACCGCCGCTCCCTGCCAGAAGAGGATTAACAATAATCCCAACCATTCACCCAGAGCTTTACCGTTTATAAAGTGTTGTCACATCTGATATTGCATCTGGGCCATACAGCTGCCCCAGAAGGTGAGCCGAAGGAGGACTACGATCCCCATTATACAGGTGACAACCCTGAGGTGCCAAAGGTTAACTGTCTGGCCTGTGGCTGCACAGCAAGTGGTCAAGCCAGGTGCCAAGCCAGGCATTCTCGTCCCACACCTGCCACTGGATCCTGCCTAGAGCAATTTTTATCAAGTGAGACCTCTGGGACAGAATGGGCAAATTTCCACTGTCTGAACAAACCAAGTAAAAAACCATCAATCGTTTATTCTTTGGTTGTCTTCACAGACACTTAAATACTGTATCGCTGTCATGCGGCTGCCTGTGGAGGCCCTGTGGGGTGGTTCCGGGCCTGCGTCCTAAGCCCTCAGCCAGGTCCAGGGGGTGTGGCGTCTGGTCATGTCCACTCCAAGAGCAGTAGCACCATGTAGAAGGCTGTGAGCAGGGTCCCCTTGTCTGAGCGGCAGACGTAGGCTCACTGCTCTGCAGCCCCAAAGGGCTGGCCAGCCCAGAGTGCAGGACAGAGTTCCTCTCCATGGGTCTAGTCACCCATCCACCTGACCTGGATACTGTCATAGCTCATCCTTTGGCTTAGACTCACTGCCTGAGAGAGACTCTTGCGCAGGTTCCTGGGGGCTCTGCTGGGCGTCCAGGGGCTGCTCCTGGGAGAGATCCATCTCTTCTGGGCTGAAGAGCATCTTCACCAGGTCGTCCGCCTGCACCCTGTCCTGCAAGGACAAACCCCTGCCCATTCAGAGAGGCCTCCAGACCAGGCACATGCTATCGCTCAGCTGCTATATTCCAGAAGACAAGGAAGGTTCCTTAACGGCTCCAGGCTCATCTCCTTCCCAGCAGGTCCTGCTCTCTGGACAAGGACAGCTGAAGTGGGGCCCAAGGAGGGAACCAAGAACTCAGCATCGCCCCCTGTCTTAACCCCTTTCCCCATCTGGATCCCACTTCACAGAGGGCCCAGGGAGGACAAACCAATGTGACCATAATGACAGGGCGTTGGGGCTGGTGTCCAAAGTGCTCCTTTTGTGTCTCAGCCACTGGCAATGGGGTTTGGGGAAGGGAGAGGCAAAGCAAGGGTTTTCTGGGAACCGGTGACTGCAGCACCAGCTGCTCTCACCCGCTCGCTGTGTCGAGGGTCCAGGGTGAACCACAGGGCAATGGCACAGCGCTGCCCCCTGGTGACAGCCTTTACTCCATGTGGGTTTTCAGTGCCTGAAGAGAATCCCACGGCCCTTCCACACTGAGGCTGCACCTCTGCCTAGGAGGGACAGAAAGGGAGCGGGGTAGCAAAGGACAGAGACTGTGACCCACTCCCAGAAGAGACACGGACTCATTAGGGCTCAGGACCCAGGGCAGCTCTTGAGGTTGGCTTCCCAAAGGCCAGAACTGAAGAGAAAGGGTGACGGTTAGAGGAGTGATGGACACGTCTCAAAGGCCCTCTGGTTGGGGAAGGGTACTGCCCACTGGGAAGCCCAGTTGGTCATTTCGGTCCAATGCATTTTAGGAACGTTAGCTGTAGAAAACAGACTTTTTATCTCCCAGGGACAAGGGATCACTCACCGTCACGGTCTTGGCATCCAGTTCAGTGAAATAAAAGTTTCCGCCATCGAAGTCTCCATTAAGGTAAAGGATGGCACTAGGAAAGGCAGAGACATCTCAACATGGTCCTTCCCCTCCTCCCTCTCTCCAGAGCCTTTGCCTCTAGGTGCTCTCAACCAGCAGCGGGAGGGTGGCTTTGTGTAGGAGGAAAACCTTCCAGAACCTATAATGACGCCGCACAAATACCCCCTTTCCCCTCTCCACCCTCGCCTTTGAGTCCACCATGCCCTGCTCAGGGTGCTTCTGTACTAAGTCCACTCACTACTGTTCTCGCCACACTACGCTGATTTCCTCTTTCCCTACCTTCTTATCCAGTGGATCTGGGGATAAAGAATTGGACTCTGGGAAAAGCTGGCCCCCACCAGTGTGTGTGCTAGGGTGGGGCAGTAGAGTGCAGGGTACTGGGGGACCTCCGAGGAGGGTACAGACTTCCTCACCCGCACCTGCCCACACTCACCTGTAGTCCCGGAACGTGTAGGCTGGGGGCTCTTTGATGCACACAAGGGTCTCGGCATTCAGGATGCAGTTGTCCACGTGGACTGGATGACTATCATCCTTCCTCTCTGTCTGGACCTCTGGGGCCAATGTCACATGTCAGCATGGGAGCACCTCAGGAGACGGCACAGCTCTCTTCTTGGCAGGGGAGGTGCTTCCCGAAATGTGCTTGGGTCTATGGAATGCCCAATGAACTAGGGGGGTGTCTTTGGCTAAGCCACAGCCTAGGGGTCAGGACAAGTCTGCAGGCTTCCTAGGACGGTTCTTGGCAGAGGTGAGCAAGCAGGAGCTTCAACCAAGGGCAAATCCTGGGCAGAATAGCGCAACCCTGGTTTGTAGCTGGACTTTATAAAATATGAAGACCCAGGGAAGTGAGAAGGAGGAGTCAGGAGGTGGGAGGACAGAGGCAGAGTGGGTCAGCCCTGCATCAGGACTGTAGGAGATGGGGCTGGGTGGCAGGAAGTGGGGCAGAGAAGAGCTGGCCAGCAAAGGGAAAGCATGAACTTCAGTGGGGCTCTGGAGTGGGGTGGGTGGAGAAACCATGTAGGGAGAAGGTCACAAAAGGGAATAGACTGGGTTCACTGTCAAATGCCAGACAGACCATGCTTAGGACACAGAAGGCGCCTTTCCCCAATGCAAACCTTTGGCATGCTCTGTGCAGGCACCGTCACATCATGGTGGGTGCCTCCTTCTCCATTCCCACCTGTCCAGCCAGTCGCCAGGTCCTGCACAACCACCTCCTGCACCTCCCCAGGGCCTTGCTTCTCCCTCCTCCCACTGCCACTTCCTGAGTTTAGGGCTTTGCCCTTGTCCACAGAGGTCATTGCTGACCAGCTTCCCTTTTTGGTTTGAAATCTCTCCACACACACAGCAGCAAAAAAAATCCTTTAAAAGCCAAGGCCTCACCATGTCCTTCACTGCTTGATGAGGCCTCCCTGGCCTCCCACTGCCTGTGCCTGTGCTCTCCCACTGGAGGCTTGTCGCACACCCAATCGTGTGTCTGACTGGTCCCTTGCCCAGATTCCGACAGAATTCCAAACATTCTGAGGCGGAGGAAAACCCTCTGATCTGTGCCACCTACTAATGGCCCATCAGTGCCAGGGGCCTAGTGAACGCTCCAGTATGACAGAGCCGGCTGTGGGCCACATGGGATCCCTGCAGCACTGAGCGAACCTCTCCCCTCAGACATGCAAAAGGGAATGTGCGTGGGGGAGGGAATGAGGGATAACCTTCAGTCCGTGCTCACTCACAAATCAAGCAGCTGTCTCACAAATTTGGTACTTAACAATTAGTAAAAGAGAACTTGCCACATAGCTATAATTGAGCTAAAGGATAAAAAAATCCCCTGACTGTAGCTCTCCAGGATTTGGCACCTTTCTTAGTTCCCCTGACTAGCGGGCTGCACGATGCCTCCACTCCTGTGCAAACACCATCCCGTCACCTGGTGTACTCCGTAATTATATTCATCCTGCAAAACTGCCATCACCTCCTCTGGGAAGCCTTCTTTTGTTGTTGTTGTTGTTGTTGTTATTTTTGCTTTTAACAAACCTTTCTGTCAAGGGCTGACTTTCAACAGATGGCAGCAAGGTAGCTGCGCTGCTATGTATGAAACCCCGACCTAGAAGCAGGTCCTCTACTAATGGTTTAGTGACAGCTTCCCCAGGAATGTGCGCTGCATGACGAGTGAGGGGTGGCTACCTTTCTGGCCGCACCCCGTTTCCCTCTGGGAAGCCTTTTTGATCCCCAGGTAGGCTGACCGTAACTTCCTTCATGCTACTGTGGCACGCATCACACTGGGCTGCTGTCCATTTGTTTATGTTGGTTCCCCAACTGGAGAAAAGGGACTGCATTCTATTCTCTCTCTTTTTTTTAAACCATGTTCCTAACCATCCTGAAGACCACATCTTATTCTCTCCATGTCCTCAGCATCCAGCACAGAGCTGAGGCACAGCGTGTGTGTGGGTCGCTGCAGGGGTGATGAGGCCCACCTTCAATGGCAGTGCGGCACACCAGATGAGAGTAGGAGAAGTAGAGGGGTGTGTCCAGGCGGAAGTAGGACTCCATGACGCGCCGTACCTTTTCTGTCACATTGTAGTACAGGTGGGCACTCTGCAGAGGAACTTTGCCTTCTTGTCCCAGCTGCCAAGGAGACAGGTGGTTAGCTGCCCTGAACACCTGATACAGTTTGGCTGTGTGTCCCCACCCAAATCTTATCTTGTAGCTCCCATAATTCCCATGTGTTGTGGGAGGGACCTGGTGGGAGATGACTGAATCATGGGGGTGGATCTTTCCCATGCTGTTCTCATGATAGTGAATAAGTCTCACAAGATCTGATGGCTTAAAAAAAATGGGAGTTTGCCTCAAGAAGTTCTCTCTGCCTGCTGTCATCCATGTAAGACGTGACTTGCTCCTCCTTGCCTTCTGCCATGATTGTGAGGCCTCTGTAGCCACATGGAACTGTAAGTCCAATTAAACCTCTTCTTTTGTAAATTGCCCGGTCTTGGGTATGTCTTTATTAGCAGCATGAAAATGGACTAATACAATGCCCCTCTGTGGGCCTCCAGAGACACTGAGGACCAGGCCCCATCCCACATCCTGCACACCCTCTGAAGCTGCAGCCTCTGCCCAACACCCACACCATATTCCTCTTCCTCCTCTCCTTCCTACCTCTCTTTATGAGCACATTGTGCGTCTTGCACAGAAGCACAGGCCTCTGGTATCAGCCGTTCTTCAGAAAGCATTCTCACAGCTTTGACGAGCAGTCTTGTCCCGCTCACTTCTCTTTTATTACATTCAGTCTAACAGCCAGGATTCAAAAGTGAAGCTCACTCAACATAACTCCTCTTTGTTCTCCGGCACAGGAACGAAGCAGGCAGACCCTCTTCACTTTACCTGCCACCAGCCGCTCCAACTCCTTAAAGCCTGAGCTTCCCCCTTCCCCACCCATTTCTCCACACTCTAGAAGGTCTAGTGTTGATTTTACCTTGAGGGCTTTGAAGACAGTGACACCATAGAACCTTTCATTGGGAGTATGTGGGGAGGTTTGACCCCGGTAGCCGTCTCCCGAGGTTGCTGCCACCTACAAGGCCCAAAACATAAGGTGAGGTTAGCCAGCGCGGCTGCCCCAGAAGTGAGCAGAGGGAGGACTATGTGGGAGGGCTTGAGAAGAGGTGGTAAGAGAAGGCAAAGGCTGCCACCTAAGGGGCAGTTGGTAGGGGGATGCTGGACCCTGGGGGAAGGTGCAGTCACTGGGCTTCCCTTACGTTAGTCAGTCTCTGCAGCTCCTGACACTCGTGGTCAGAGATGACACCATCCATCACCACCCGCTGGGAACCATTCAGGAGTTTGGAGTTCATGGTGAGACTGATACCTTCATACAGCAGGGGACCACCTGCAAAGCAATGACAAGACTCCAGCTAAATCTAGCAGCACCTCTGACCAAGGACTCTCCATTGAATATTGCCACCTTGTCAGAAATAGAAATTCCAGCTGTTTCCTTTTCCCAGCAAAATCTTCCACTAGGTCATTTTCAAAGGCAGAATGGTCCAGAGGACAGAACATAGAGCTGAAGTATGAGGTTCAAGCTCTAGTGCCAGCTCCATGACCAAATAGCCGCTGGCTTTTGGGCCATAACACACTGTTGAGGAAACATCAGAAACATGATCCTAAAACATGAGCTCCAGAATGAGGAAGAACTGATTTTGACTCCTAAATCCTCCACTGATTACCTGTGTGACCTTGGCAAGTTACTTAACCTCCCTGAGGCTAACTTTAAATAATTAAAAGGTCTCATCTGTCAAACCGCATCTACCTTATATGTCTGATGCCAGTATAATGTTAAGAACAAGGGCCAGGAGTGGTGGCTCACTCCTGTAATCCCAGCACTTTGGGAGGCCGAGGTGAGCGGATCACCTGAGGTCAGGAGTTTGAGACCAGCTTGACCAACATGGAGAAACCCTGCCTCTACTAAAAATACAAAATTAGCCAGGTGTGGTGGCGGATGCCTGTAATCACAACTACTCGGGAGGCTGAGGCAGGAGAATCACTTGAACCCGGAAGGGAGAGGTTGCAGTGAGTCGAGATTGCACCACTGCACTCCAGCCTGGGCAACAAGAGCAAGACTTCATCTCAAAAAAAAAAAAAAAAAAAAAAGGAAGGCAAATTAAAAGTTTAGCATGCTACTTGGCACATGGTAAATGCTCACAAGTTTGGCTACCACGATATCATCATTATTCATTTAAAACAAGGATCTTGCAATCTGCATGATCCACCTCTCAGGCAGTTGTAAGAATCAGGAGAAATAAGAAAGTGAAAGTGGTCTGAAAACAAAGGGATGCTGGACAAATTCTTTTCATATGCTAATCTTGTTAAATTAACCACTGTTAATTTAAGCAGCTATAGGGCAAAGGCCAACATCTCTCTCTTACAGTTCTCATGGTGTCTTCTGTGCTAGGGACATACTAATACTAGAGACTCAATTCAATTCCACTCGTTCACTGAGGCCTCAGTGTGTGCCAGGCACTGTGCCAGACAGGGTGAGAGAAGAATCCTACAAGCCAGTACCTGTTTTCTAACAATTATGCAAATAACTAGCACAAGACAGACCATAAATGCCCTAAGAAGTTCAAAAGAAAGGAGGGGACTCCAATCATCTGGGAAGTTAAGAAAGGCTCTGGAGGGTATATCTGAGATGCCCTCGTGGGCAGGGATGGTGGGAAGCGTATTATGAGAGCCAGGCATAAACACAGACTGGTGAGCAGCGGGCAAGCTCATGGAACAAGGTGCAGTCCCATGTGAAGAGAAGTTATAAACAGGATAAGAGTAGAACGTTCGGCCGGGCGCGGTGGCTCAAGCCTGTAATCCCAGCACTTTGGGAGGCCGAGGCGGGTGGATCACGAGGTCAAGAGATCGAGACCATCCTGGTCAACATGGTGAAACCCCGTCTCTACTAAAAACACAAAAAATTAGCTGGGCATGGTGGCGCGTGCCTGTAATCCCAGCTACTCAGGAGGCTGAGGCAGGAGAATTGCCTGAAGCCAGGAGGCGGAGGTTGCGGTGAGCCGAGATCGCGCCATTGCACTCCAGCCTGGATAACAAGAGCGAAACTCTGTCTCAAAAAAAAAAAAAAAAAAGAGTAGAACGTTCGGTGAAGGGGCAGGCAGGGAGGATGGGTCAGAGGCCGGCATCTGGAAGACTGGCCTAGCTACCATGTGTGGGCAGGAGCAAGGACAGGCTAGACGAGGAGAGGGTGGGTGTAGACAGGAGGTGCCAGGGCCTGAAGCAGGCCTGAGGCAGTTAAAAAAGGAAAAGGCTAGAGAGGGAGCTGAGAAGCACAGCCAAGCAGAGCCACAATCAGTAGGCCCTCCCAGCAGCCTGCAGGAGACAGGCACGGGAGGACGAGGAGCCAAAGGAGGTCTGACGGTGTTGAGTCTCAGTAACAGGACGAGTGGTGAAAACTGGGACAAAAGAGTTTGGGAGTGGGGAGATGGAACGAGTCAATACCTATGGAAGTAGACGACACTAGTCACTGGTGTTACTGTGACACAGGAGTCTTCTTTTTTTTTTAAAAAAAGATGAGGTCTTGCTATATTGCCCAGGCTGGGTTCAAACTCCCGGCTCAAGTGATCCTTCTACCTCAGCCTGTCAAGTGGCTGGAATTACAGGTATGCACCACTACATCCTGGAGTCTGATTTCTGAACCAAAGGATGATTCTCAGTGCTCTTTCCAGCTGAAAGTCTCGGAGGTGAGTTGAGAAAGATACCCACTGAACTTGGCCCCTGAGGCTGGCTCATGGTGAGCTCTGCACTGCTGGGGTGGGGCACTACCTGGCAAGTAAGTGTGAGGTGACCTGCCTGGCTCCCTGACAACAGCCACACAGGCCCCTGTTTCTGTCCTCTCACCTTCCCGGGTCAGTCTGCTCACATCCAATGACTCCTTGGTCTTCTCTTCCACAAGGGTCTCGATTTCCTTCATAAGGTTCCCAATCTCCTGGGAGATGCGGACGGCTGTTTCCCGTTCTGACCTATGAGCATAGCTGCTCTGAGGACTGCATTCCAGGGCCAGCCCTGGGCTCCACCCCAGCTTCCCAAACTGGACCTGCCCACCCCTTGCCAGGAGTTCACATCTGCCTGGGCTCAGGAAGCCTCAAGTGCTTCATCAGACCGATCCAACCATGCAGTTTCTTCAAGGTCCTCACTTCTGTTTCTCTTGCAACCTCTTGGGAATCACCTCTTCTGGAGTCCATGAATCCTACGTAGGTCAGAAAGAAATGAGAAAGGTAGGATGATCTTAATCTTTCAGGTGTCTCAATGCATAAAATAAGGCCCACAGGAGGAATCCAGCTTATCATCTTCTTCCTTTCAGGAGACAAAACCTTAGAGGTTTCTAGATCTAAGTCCCTTCTAGCTGCCTGGTGTCCCCCTTTTATCTGTCTCTCATCCCTGCCTTGCACAGATCCCAGGCTAGGCTCAGCCTCCAACAAGTTTTCCCTCAGAATCACACTGTGTTCCCCTCCTCCCCATTCATCTCCCCTGCTCACTCCCCCGCTCCCTCCAGGCTCCTGCACTCTAGCTCACCGGATCCACAAAGGGAATTCCAAAAACATCATAAGCGAAGAAAAGCAGTTCCTTCTCCAGTAGGCTTCGCTGTCGGTACTCCTTGGCATTCTGAGGATGCAAAGGCAAAGGAATCCCCTAGAACTCAGCCTTCTCTTTTAACCTCTGGGAGTTCCCCTCCCTGGCACCCCACCCTTACACTCCTCATGTGACCTGAGGCCTCCTCTCCCTACCAACATTCTAGGTCTGTTCCCCGGTTTGGGACAAAAGTCTAATTTTTGTGTCCAAGGGTTCCTCTGCCTGGCACAAGCAACAGTACCTCTAAGGGTGGAATAACCAGGCTTCCTGTAAGGGAAAAAGCTGTGTTCCTCTCCCACCCCAACCCCCATTAGTCTCTGGGACAGAAAATCTGATGATTCTCAGAAGAGGAAATATTCTTAAAAGAAGGAGAATTCCTTCTTGACTTCTACAGGCGTCCACAAAGCAGGAAGAGGCATCAGGCATTAGGCAACTGACATGTTATTCATTTGATCTTTACCGCACCATCTGAGGTTGATACTATTATGCTCATTCTACAGAGGAAGCATCTGAGGCACAGAGGAGATGTGCCACTGTCTAAGGTGACACTACAGGACACAGGAGAGCAGGGACCTAGAGTCAAACCCAGGTCTTCTGTTATCTTTTTCTTTCTTTTTCTTCATAGCAGAGTATCCATTTGGACAGACAAACCTGGGTCTTTAGAGTCCTAAAGCCCACGTGCTTTCTGCTGGCCCACCTGCCTCCTCTCAGACCCTAACCAGACCACACCCCTCCCTGAGGATGAGCAGCTGCAGTGGGAGGGCCTGGCACTCTGGCCTTCCCACGTGGACTCCTGGGCAAGGCTTACCCAGGGCAGGGAAACTGAGTACCTTCCGGGGCCACATCTTTCCCTAGGTGCCTTGCTAATCTCCAAGCAGCAGGAGGAGGAAGGAAGAGAAAAAGAAGACATCATCAGTTGAAGTAAAACACAAGGCAGTTCAAGGAGAAATGAAAGGAATCAATGAATCCTATGTCATCTACTATATTTACCTAAGAGGAAGAGAGACATTTTCTTCTTAGGAGTTTACATTACTGGCTTCTGTCACCAAGGGCTATGTTATCTCATTTAACGCTCTCCAATGACCCTATAAGGTTGCTATGAAGCAAACCCCACTTCCATTCTTTATTCATTTGATGCTAATTTACTGAGTATCAGCCGTGTGTCTGGAGCTGTGCCTGCACTGGAGCAGAGCAGGGAAGAGATTCTGGTCACAACTGTCCACAGGCCAGTGCACAAGTTACTTCATCTCTCAGATGCTAACAGTCCTCATCCTTAAAGTGGGAAGAACAGTGCCCACCTTGCAGGGCAGCTGTGCTGATTAAATGAGATGATGGATGCAGACTACCCCACACAGAGCTCTGCCTGGACAGGAGTTCAACATGTTAGTCACCTTCTTTTCAAAAGGGGAGTTCTAGTTAAAAATGCTAGATTGGTCACATGGGTTTATTTCCCCTCACTCCCCTCAGACTCCCCTCAAAGGCCATAAAGAAGACGGAGAAAAGGTATTAACCAAGCAAGACAAAAGAGACTGGAAGTGCCATCTTCAAGTCAGATGGTCACCATCTAGTGGCCAAAGAGGACCACTACAAAGACAACCCACATGGGAGGGACAGCAAGAGGCTGTTTCTACTGGAGGCTCTCCGACTCCAGAGTTCGAAAGGAAGAGCCTGGTGTTTTCCTTCAGTGCAGCAGTCTGTGTGTTATACGGATATTTCTCCTCGTTTGGAGTGAGATGGGGAAAATGCTGAAAGATGAGAGAGAACAAACAATGGCAGGAAGAAGGGATGGGAAGGAAAATGGAGACAGAAAACATGTGAACAGAAAAAAAAACCAGAATTAAGTGAAAAATGATAGATCTTGGACAAATGATCTCGAGTGTCCAAGCTAGGAGTCCCAAGAGGGGAAAGATTATGTCTGCCGTGTGGTTCCGTGGGACTCAGAGAACAGACTTCTGGGTCCAGATAACGCTAACTGAGGCTCCTGTGTGCTCCCCACACTCCCTCCCTGTGCTCCCTTCTTCTCTGAATAACAAGCCGAGTCAGTGAACTCATACCTGGCCCCGACACCGATACTTGGCCCCTGCCCTGCACCCACAGCACCGACTGCCCTCTGCTAACCCCTTCTTCCGCCCTGAGGTCTGAGTTCAACTGGCAGCTGTCATCACAGAAGGAAATCTCTCACCTCACGGGGGCTGGTCAATCTAGTGTGTTCTTCTCCAAGCATAGCTGCATAATAGGCCAAATTCTGGTTCATCACCTCATCATTGGGGAAGAAGAGAAGATAGGTCTTGGCACATTCGACAGCCTGTGTGTAATTCCCAACTGCAAAGTGGAAAGAACAATAGCTGAGAGGAAAGGGTCAAAAGGAAAGGGTCAAATCCTGGTACCAGGGACCACTTAGTGTCCAGTTTCTGCAAAGTTTGAGGCAATGGCGACACGACAAGGTAGTGCCTGCAACGTAACATGACAGCCTGATTTCAGGGGCAGAAGTTATGAAATACACATAGAATGTGCAGTTGATTTTAAGGTAAGGTGGTCATTGTCCTCAGGGCTGCCTGACAATGAAACAAAAAAGAATCAGAATCCTCTGCATGCCCACATCTTTAAAGACTCACAAATAATTCAAATATCCCTTAATATTTTACCTCAATACACTCAATCATTAATTCAATTTCCCTGTCTTCCTACCTTCTTTTTTTCTACGGATTTTCAGAAGACAGGGAAGAGTACAATAGCAGATTGTGTCTTTGGCAGAACAGTTCTTGTTGATATGTGTTGGTCACCTCAACTCAACTGTAAATACTGTACACTCATCTTTATGTTTGCTATGCTTGGCACATAGTAGGAACTCTGCAAAGACCTGCCGATTTGTTGGCTTTCTGGGTATTAATTGGCAGCCCCACAAAAGCATCAGTGCTATACCAGGGAGAAAGGCTGGCAAATGTCCTCTGAGCTGGTTTAAACAATGGCATACCCTTACTTTTGCTATTAACTTTAATTCAAAAGCAAAAATACATGTTATAGAAGGGACAAGAGAACAAGGTCCTAAGTCTCCCTCCCCCAGCTTTTTGGGTTGCTGGTACTAGCTTCCTAGGCCAGTGGTTTATAACAAACTACCCAGGGATCACTTGGCACGGTACCTTCCACAGGTACTCAAAGAAGCCAAATACACTGAGGAAGCAAGTGGCTGTAATCCCTGCCCACGTTGCCTTTAGCTTCCTCGTTAGGCAGCAGAGAAAGAGGAAAGAAAGTAGGCCTTACTGTTATAGTAGGCAAACTGCAGATAATTATAATGCGATGGGAGGAAGTCTTCGAAGGGCTTCTCTCGACTTGGGTGGGAAGCAAGCTCGGTGACACAGTTCTGCTTACAGCTGAGGACCTGGATATAATGATCTGAAAGGAATCAAGGAGGGGGAATAACTACGAGGTCACTCTCTAGGACTCGAATTTTGGTGAAGAACAAATTCTAATGAAAGCAATGTTTCATCAGATTCTCAGATTTAATAAATTGAGGAATGAGGCTGAAGGTTCTCCATTTATATTATCAAATGTTGACCTTAGAGTCCCAGGATGCCTGGCTGCAGGCCTGGCTCTGAACTGCACGCACCTGTGATGGCCTGGAAGAGGTCAGCATTGTACTCAAGGTAGTTGTAGCCATCGTAGTCATAGGGCCCTTCGCAGAGGGCCCGGCACTCTTCATAGGCCACAAAGTACTCCTGCAGCGCCGCCTCTAGGTGGGGCACAGCTTCCTGTGGCTGTTCCTCTGAGTAGAGCCGCACTCCCAGTCGAAATTCTTGCTACTGGGAAGAAGGAGCACTCAAATGCAGGCCACAGAGGACGAACCCTCTCCCCTTGCTCTCAGCCACCTTCACGGGGTCCTCATTTCCTGCTCCTCAGATTATAGATGTAAAGGGGTGATCTGGGTGCTGCTATATAATGAACAGCTTTTGTAAATGGTCTTTACATGCTTCTCTGGAAATTTAAAAACATTTAACTTTTTTTTTTTTTTTTTTTTTTTGAGGCAGAGTCTGGAGTGCAGTGGTGCAATCTCAGCTCACTCTGACCACCACCTCCTGGGTTCAAGCAATTCTCCTACCTCAGCCTCCCTAGTAGCTGGGATTACAGGCACAAACTACCATGCCCAGCTAATTTTTGTATTTTAGTAAAGACAGGGTGTCACCATGTTGGCCAAGCTGATCTCAAACTCCTAACCTCAAGCAATCCTCCCACCTCGGCCTCTTAAGGTGCTGGGATTACAGGTGTGAGTCACTGTGCCTGGCCAAAAACATTTAACTGGCTGAAAGATACCTGGGAGTTCATTATGATTTTCTTGTACTTTTCTTTCCCCCTGCTGTCCTAAAATTAGTGACAGATTATTGTACTTTTTGTAGGGCTAACAGTTTTCAGATAAACACAACTTACTTGTTTTTTGTTTTCTTTTTTTTGGAGACAGCCCAGGCTGGAGTGCCATGGTGTGATTTTGGCTTACTGCAATACCCACTTCCTGGGTCCAAGTGATTCTAGTGCCCCAGCCTCCTGAGAAGCTAGCATTACAGCCATACACCACCACACCTGGCTAATTTTTATATTTTTAGTAGAGACAGGGTTTCGTCATGTTAGCCACACTGGTCTTCAACTCCTGGCCTCAAGTGATCCACTCGCCCTGGCCTCCCAAAGTGCTGGGATTACAGGCGTGAGCTACCATGCCTGGCTGACACAACTTACTTTTTTTGGGGGGATGGTGTCTTGCTCTGTCGCCTAAGCTGGAGTGCCATGACATGATCTAGGCTCACTGCAACCTCCACCTCCTGGGTAAAAGCAACTCTCCTGCCTCTACCTCCTGAGTAGCTGGGATTACAGGCACACACCACCATGCTCAGCTAATTTTTGTATTTTTAGCAGAGATGGGGTTTCACCATGTTGGCCAGGATGGTCTTGATCTCCTGACCTCAGGTGATCTGCCCACCTTGGCCTCCCAAAGTACTGGGATTACAGGCGTGAGCCACTGTGCCCAGCCACAATTTGCTTTTTAAAAAAATCATTCTTATATTGTTTCTAATATTCCTATTTGATAATTAAAACATAAGGAACCATAACCTCTCTATAAAAATGCTATATCATCACAGACAATCTCTCCTTTGCAACAGACTTTTCCTGTTAAATAAACAGAATAATAAGAACATTGAGGGATACTGTACCATTTACTGCAGTGAAAATAAAAAATGTACATGACAAAAAAATGTGACTACTGAATTAATATGGTCTCTGGATAAGATTGACTATCATGCAGCCATAAAAAATTATGTTTTCGGCTGGGTGCGGTGGCTCAAGCCTGTAATCCCAGCACTTTGGGAGGCCGAGGCGGGTGGATCACGAGGTCGAGAGATCGAGACCATACATGGTGAAACCCTGTCTCTACTAAAAATACAAAAAATTAGCTGGGCATGGTGGCACATGCCTGTAATCCCAGCTACTCAGGAGGCTGAGGCAGGGAATCACTTGAACCCAGGAGGCGGAGGTTGCGGTGAGCCAAGATCGCGCCATTGCACTCCAGCCTGGGTAACAAGAGCGAAACTCCGTCTCAAAAAAAAAAAAAAAAAATTGTGTTTTCAAATAAAACTGAAGATATGAGAAAAGATTCATGATAATAATGTTAGCTAAAAAATGATGTCGGGGCTGGGGATGATGACTCACACCTGTAATCCCAGTATTTTGCGAGGCCAAGGCGGTAGGATCACTTGGGACCAGGAGTTTGGGCAACACAGTGAGACCCTGTCTCTACAAAAAATAAAAACAATAGCTGAGTGTGGTGGTACATGCCTGTAGTCCCAGCTATTTGGGAGGCTGAGATGGGAGGATCACTTGAGCCCAGGAGGTCAAGGCTGCAGTGAGCCTTGATCACACCACTGCACTTCAGCCTGGGCAATAAAGTGAGACCCTGCCTCAAAAAAATAAAAGATGATGAAAAATGCATACACAGTATGACATTAAATTAGATGAAAAAATTATATACAGAAGACTTAAAAAGTAGGGCAAAATATAAACTGGTTTTCTTAAGGTGGCAGTGTTACAAATGATTGCTTTTTGTTTTATACTTATCTACATTTCTACAATGTTACACAATGAACATTTATTACTTCTATAACGTAATTAGAAAACAACCCTAGTAATGTCATTTTTTTTTAAAAAAAGAAAGAATGTATGCCTGTAGTCCCAGCTACTTAGGAGGCCGAGACTGGAGGGTCTCTTGAGTCCAGGAATTTAAGGTTACAGTGAACTATGATCATGCCACTGCACTCCAACCTGGGTGACAGAGCAAGCCTCTGTCTCTAAAATGAATTTAAAAAGAAAGAGAGAAAGAAGGAGATAAAGTTTTTTCACCATATGGGGTTGAGCCTCAAGATCCTTGAAGTCGTCCTCCTTCACTCCAGACATGGTTTGGTAATAGTCTAGGTTCTGGCGCATCTCCATGTGCTCAGGATTGCCCACGAAGAAGGTGTGTGCTGCGGAGACAGCTTTCTCCAACTTGTTGATCTAAGAATGAAGCATGAGATGGTAACACTCACATCCAAACTCTGCAGTTAAGTGTCCACAGGAGCAGTCCACATAAACCGGAAATCCCTGCTTCCCTGAGCCCTCCACTCAGCATGCCCAGCCCCTGCCAGCCCCAGGAAGCACACCTATTGCAGGAACTACCCACCAGAGATTAGGAGTGCAGTGCCCTGGGCAGATTTGTAGCTCTTTCCCAAGTCAGGCTTAGGGGTGCTCCAAATTATAGAAAGTAGCAATGTTCTGTTTTAAAACAAAGGTCATATTGCAGGGGGAGCACTGTGAAAGACTGACTGCCCATATGATATGTTTTCATGCTGGGCGCAGTGGCTCATGTCTGTAATCCCAGCATTTTGAGAGGTCGAAGCAGGTGGATCACTTGAGCTCAGGAGTTCGAGACCATCCTGGGCAACATGGCAAAACCCTGTCTCTACAAAACATATAAAAATTTCATGATGCTGTGTGCCTGTAGTCCCAGCTACTCCTCAGGTTGAGGTAGGAGGATTGCCTGAGCCTGGGAGGCAGAGGTTGCAGTGAGCCGAGATGGTGCCACAGCACTCCAGCTTAGGTGACACAGCAAGACCCTGACATTCAGGGAAAAGGTGGGTAGCTAAAAATCCTATTTTCTGACACAAAGCTCAGGGCTCATGAGGTTCAAACAAATAGCTCTAAGAAATTTGAGAGGGTGACCAGGGGCAGTGACTTGAGCCTCTAATCCTAGCACTTGTGAGGCTGAGGCGGGTGGATCACTTGAGGTCAGGAGTTCGAGACCAGCCTGGCCAACATGGTGAAAACCTGTCTCTATTAAAAATACAAAAATTAGCCAGGTGTGGTGGCACACGCCTGTAATCCCAGCTACTCAGGAGGCTGAGGTAGGAGAATGGCTTGAACTGGGGAGGCGTGGATTGCAGTGAACCGAGATCGCCCTACTGTACTCTAGCCTGGGCAACAGAGTGAGACTCTGTCTCAAAAAAAAAAAAAAAAAAGAAAAGAAAAGAAAAGAAAAAAGAAAAAAAAAAAAAGAAATCTGAGGGGAGAAATAGGCTAGAGACCACAATTCCCACAACAATGGACTCCAGCATATATCAGAGTAACACAGGTTCATATATAGAATCCAACCAAATAAATCACTGATGATCTAGTAATGAACTACTTGGACACTGGTATCAGACAGACCAGAGTCTGGGCTTAATGGCTGGGCAGTAGACAAGCTACTTAAAGTTTACTTTCTAAACTCAGTTTTCCTAATCTATCATCTGGAGATAGCATTCTCTACCTATCTTCTAGCATTGTTGAGAGTTCAATGAGATAATATACATGCAGCCTGTAATACATGGTGCAGGGCACAGATTAAGTGCTCAAATTTTAGGTGGTATGACTAATATGCTAAGATAACTTCTTTTCTTTTCTTTCTTTTTTTTTTTTGAGACGGAGTTTCGCTCTTGTTACCCAGGCTGGAGTGCAATGGTGCGATCTTGGCTCACCGCAACTCCACCTCCTGGGTTCAGGCAATTCTGCCTCAGCCTCCTGAGTAGCTGGGATTACAGGCACGCGCCACCATGCCCAGCTAATTTTTGGATTTTTAGTAGAGACAGGGTTTCACCATGTTGACCAGGATGGTCTCGATCTCTTGACCTCGTGATCCACCCACCTCGGCCTCCCAAAGTGCTGGGATTACAGGCTTGAGCCACCGCGCCCGGCAGATAACTTATTTTCTTATCATGGGTACTAGTAAAGGCCCACTACAAGAGTCAGCCCTGGCTAGGTGACACAAGGTAAATAACTCCCCAGCTCTGTACCTCAGTTTCTTTAACTGTAAAATTAGAAATTTTCTCCGGTCTGTCCCTTTTATGGAATGACTCTATTGCTTGTATCTTTCAGTTCTGCTCCTGTCTTTCTCTGTTCGCCCCCATGTCCTCACTCCTCTCTCCACTCCCAGCCTTCTTTACTTCCTAAGCAATGAGGCACTTAACCTCCTTTTCTTTTTTTGGAAATGGAGTTCAACTCCTGTTGCCCAGGCTGGAGTGCAATGGCATGATCTCGGCTCACTGCCACCTCCACCTCCTGGGTTCAAGTGATTCTCCTGCCTCAGCTTCCCGAGTAGCTGGGATTATAGGTATGCACCACCATGCCCGGCTAATTCGTATTTTTAGTAGAGACAGGATTTCTCCATGTTGGTCAGGCTGGTCTTGAACTCCTGACCTCAGGTGATCCACCCACCTCCGCCTCCCAAAGAGCTGGGATTATAGGCATGAGCCACTGCGCCCACCCCTCTCTTGTGGACAAATGCCCATCCACTAATCATGTGCCCTGCCACCACTTTCTCCTTCTTCCAAGGTTTATTCACCACGGCTTCTTCCAGAATGAGCGTTTTAAAACCCAAATCCGAGGATGGATCCCTAAAGCCTGTAGAATTCTCTTCCAAATTTGGCCTCACTGACCTTTCTAGCTTCCTCTCCTACTACTCCCCACATACAACTTTACATTGCAATCACAATTGATTTTTTCCCCTCTATCTGGAAGAGCCTTCCTTCCTCTCCCCTGGCAATACTTAGGACAGGCTTTAATACTACCTTTTCTTTGAAGTCTCTCTAATTTCTTTGAGACAAAGCTAGAGTCTCCCTCCTTTGTGATCCCACAGGCCTAAGATTATGCCCTTGCAGTAGCCCTTACTACAGTAACTCTTAACAGCAAAGCAAGACAAAGCAAAGACATTGGTCGAGCATTTAATTACTTGTACAAGAACTGGAATGCAGTAGATATGCAATACATGTTTGTCAAATAATTTTACATAGTGCTATGATGAAGCCACACAAAACAATTATTTTGATTTCAAGTCCAACACTCTTCCGAGTAACTAGGAAAAATGAGGGGCTCTATGGGTAGAATGCTGTGGAGGGGTAGAAATCTGAGGTCCCCAAGAGTCTCTAAAACTCTCTTTAGGTTGAATTGAAGGTCTTTTAAAGTGCAGATATAACAGATTAAAAGCACAGCTCTTTCTCCCCCCACGCCCAATAAAGTGGGACCAATAACAGCTTCTACATGACAGGATGTTATGAAGATTAGGGCAAATGCGTAAATAAATGCAAATTGCTTGAAACAGTGCCTGGATCATCATCATCATCATCATCATCATCATCATCACCACCACCACCACCACCAAACATGCCTGGAACGCTCCAAGCCCATGTGTACACTTGGACGCTTGGCACTCTGGCAGTCCTAAAAACGCTAGTTTTTCTTTGTAAACCTCACAGGCTAGCCAGAGGGTCCCCCCAACAGGCAGGATGAGGCAGCTCCTGCTGGCGACGTGGCAACCTCACATCCTGAAACAGAGCTGCTGCATCAAGCAGCAGCAGGAAAAGCACCACTGGAAAACTAACCGGAAGGAAGATATTGTAGACCGCTACTAGCTTCTCACTTAGGAAACTTAAAATGACATCAGGATGGGCGACCCAAACTGCTGCTTTAATTCCTTCCAGGAGATTTCCCGGGGAACCAAACGGCCATGGGTTTTGCTTGGCCTGTGCCCTTGCCCCAGCCTGGACCTATGGGGTTAGCATCTGCCCATGTGAACTGGGCAAGGCAGGTCTGCTAGGGCCCTGCTCTCCCGGGTTTCGAGGAAATCTCCCCAGCTAGGAGGCCACTTGCCGTCCCTGCGGACACTTCCCCGGTCCCCCAAGCTTCCCAAGTACCCTGCAACACTCCTCTCCCCAGAAGGACCCCGGCCGCCCGGCTCCGGGCAGGTCTGCACCTTGAAGTAGGCGACCTGCAGGTAGTTGTAGGGGCTCCGCTTGCGGAACTCCAGCTCCATCTCTTCGCTGAGCGAGTGGGCGGCCGGGGGCCCGAGGCAGCTGCGCAGGCAGGCGGCGCGGCGCAGGAGGCCCCCGAAGAAGCTCAGGTCCCGCAGGGCGGCGGCGCCCGAGGCCTGGGCCAGGCTAGGGGGCGAGTCGGGGTCCAGCTCCCATGGGAAGTCCGCGGCACACCGGGTGCGGCAGCGCAGGCGGAGGGCGCGGAGGGCGGCCCGGGAGCGCAGAGCCCGCTCCATGCTCAGGACCACCCCGGGCCAGTCCCCGCGCGCGTAGGCCGCCGTCCCCTCGGCGAAGAGCAGATCAGGCGTCACCATGCCCCATCCCGCCTCGGACTCGACCTCGGCCTGGGAGGCAGCGGCCACGAAAGCCAGCAGTGTGAATCAGCAGCCTTAATGCGCACACCGCCATCGCTTCCTCAGACTTAACAGGACCGCTAACCGCCCGCCACGGAGGCCGGAGTCCCACCTCCGGGCGAAGCCCCACCTCCCAAGCCGGGCGGCGCATGCCCACGAGGCTTGCCCTGCCTCTTTTCCTTTCAGTCCACCTGGACCCTCCCTCCACCGCCCTCAGTGGAACCCTGAGCGACAGCTGGAGCCCCGCCTCCGAGCTCAGGCCAAGCGCAGTCGCCCTAACGCCCAATGGACAAGGAAGACGGAGGCTCCGCCCATGCGCCTTTGTGCGCAGGCTCTCTCGACTCGTACCGCGAGTGAGTGGGAGGATAAGGCGCGGCTATGGAGGAGGCTGCAGCGCCGGGGCGGACCGAGGGGGTCCTTGAAAGGCAAGGAGCGCAGCCAGCTGCAGATCAGGGAGGTATGCGGGTCGGGAGTCAGCAGGGGGAAGTCAGCCCTCGCGAGGCAACCCGTCTCGGGGCTCCGCGGGAGGCCGAGGGCGGGAGCTCACGGCCTGTGTTCCTGGGTGTGTGTCGCAGGAGCCCTGGTGGAGCTCACCCCGACCCCCGGCGGCCTGGCCCTGGTGAGCCCTTACCACACCCACCGGGCCGGGGACCCCTTAGACCTCGTGGCGCTCGCAGAGCAGGTGCAGAAGGTGAGGAGGCGCGGCCGGGACAGCAAATAACCGTCTTTGTTCACGTTGTGCTCTGCGTCTTTGAGCTCAGACCTCACTACCACCTAGTGTGGGGTGGCATTTGCTCTTGTCTCCATTTTACAGACGAGTAAAGCCGACTGTCCTTGCGAGTCGGTGGCCTGACTCGAATGACCTTCTGGGATCAAAGGCTCCTCTAACTGCAACTTGAGTGCCCATAATCTCCCTTCGTGGGAAGGTTTACACAACACTTTAGTGTTCATTAGTATTTAATTTGCACTTTTGGACAGCCTTGGGAGGTAGGCAGTACAGAAGTTATTCTTCCCATTTGGCACATAAAGAAAAGTTCCCCAGGAGCTTATTTTAAGCTGCTTCCTATAAGGTCTTAGTTACCTGAGAGTTTAAACATCTTCTGGCAGGGCAAAGACTCCAAGTTTAGTCCTCATCAGACACAGTATTAGCAAGCCCAGTGCTTACATATGGATTGCCAAAGTAAGTAAAATGAGCAAATGTGAAATAATGGAAAAAAACTGGAAGTTTGGACATATGAGTATTAATTCCACTTTTGATACTAACTTGCAGTGCGACTTGAGGCAGATTACTTCTCTCGACTTCAGCCACTTTATTTGTGAAGTGAAAGGTTTGAAGTAGGAGATCTCCAAGATCTAAAGCTTTGTCATTATTCAGTGAAAAACCAGATTTCTTCTTATCTCTTCTCAAGACTTCCAGTTGTACACCCTCTTCAGTGTGCACAAATGGAGGGTCCTGCTGCTTTAAAGATTGTGATGGCCCCTTATCCCTGTGTACACTATCAGATTTGGCCTTGATTAATGTTCAAAGGTCTTTGCTTTGCTCAAAATTAATTAATGTGCTCAAATTCCCTCACATCTCTCTTTTTTAAAATGATCCTATGGAAATCCTTCCAATGTTTTTTTTTTTTTTTTTTTAAATAAGAAACATTCAGATACTTAGGAAGTCTCCATTAATTCAAAACTTGTGCTTTCTTCTTTTTGGAGAGCTGAGGAGCAAAGTGCAACTTTTATGGGTTAAGAGAATACGTGTCTAGGCAATCAGATTGCTCTTATTGAGAGGGAGGCTGCTAGGGACAAAATCTTGTGCACACAACATATTCATGTGCTATTGAATGACTGTCATGTTTATTACAATGGCCTGAACAGATGGAAGAAAGAACACAGTTTTTGTCTTTTATCCTATAATCTAGTGAAATACAGAGGATGCATTATTGAGCTGCCTCTGTTTCCCCAATATAGTCTGTCTTTGAGAAGCCGAAGAAAAAACTTTAGAGACAAACAAATTGAATCAAACATTTACTATCTAAAATGTAATTTTTGGCTGGGCGCCATGACTCACACCTGTAATCCCAGCACTATGGGAGGCCAAGGCAGGTGGATCATTTGAGGTCAGGAGTTTGAGATCAGCCTGGCTAACATGGTGAAACCCTGTCTCTACTAAAAATACAAAAATTAGCTGGATATGGTGGCTGACGCCTGTAGTCCCAGCTACTCGGGAGGCTGAAGCATGAGAATCGCTTTAGTCCAGGAGATAGAGGTTGCAGTGAGCTGAGATTGCACCATTGCATTCCAGCATGGGTTACAGAGTAAGACTCGTAAAAAAAAAAAAAAAAAAAATGAGGCCAGGTTCTGTGGCTCACCCCTGTAATCTTAGCACTTTGGGAGGCCAAGGCCGATGGATTGCCTGAGCTCAGGAGTTTGAGTCCAGGCTGGGCAACATAATAAAACCCTGTCTCTACTAAAATACAAAAAATTAGCTGTGCATGGCAGTGTGTACTTATATGCTTGTAGTCCCAGCTACTTGGGAGGCTGAGGCAGGAGAACTGCTTGAGCCTGGAAGGTGGAGGCTGCAGTGAGCCAGCATCATGCTTATTACACTCCAGCCTGGGCGACAGAGTGAGACTCCATCTCCAAAAAAAAAAGTACTTTTTAGCAGGACCGACCCAAGTATTGGTGTGTGTTCAGAAAGCTCAGGAGGCCTGGTATTAAGACATGAATTTTGAGGCCGGGAGCGGTGGCTTACGCCTGTAATCTCAGCACTTTGGGAGGCCGAGGCGGGTGGATCACAAGGTCAAGAGATTGAGACCATTCTGGTCAACATGGTGAAACCCCATCTCTACTAAAAATACAAAAATTTAGCTGGGCATGGTGGCGCGTGCCTGTAATCCCAGCTACTCAGGAGGCTGAGGCGGGAGAATTGCCTGAACCCGGGAGGTGGAGGTTGCGGTGAGCTGAGATTGCGCCATTGCACTCCAGCCTGGGTAACAAGAGCGAAACTCTGTCTCAAAAAAAAAAAAAAAAAAAAGACATGAATTTTGGAATCTGACTGATCTGTGTTCAGATCCTTTAACTGCTGTTTATTATCTGTGAAACCTTGGATAGGCTGCCTCTTGTCTGTGAGTCTTAATTCCTAAAATGAGAAAGTGAGGTTATTATCTCCAACTTCATAAAGGTATGAGAAGTAAATGAGATGAATGTAAAGGGCTTCAGAGTGGTTGAGGCCAGAGTTAGTGCTTAGTAGTTGTAGGTACTCTTACCTTTCCTTTTTTTTTTTTTTTTTGAGACAGGGTTTTGCTCTTGTTGCCCAGGCTGGAGTGCAATAACATGATCTCTGCTCACGACAACCTCCACCTCCTGAGTTCAAGTGATTCTTCTGCCTCGGCTTCCTGAGTAGCTGGGATTACAGGCATGTGCCACCATGCCCATTTAATTTTGTATTTTTAATAGAGACAGAGTTTTTCCATATTGGTCAGGCTGGTCTCACCTCAGGTGATCTGCCCGCCTCGGCCTCCCAAAGTGCTGGGATTACTGGTATGAGCCACCGTGCCAGGCCCCTTCCTTTCTTTTTTGTGAGGCTCTTTTGTTTTTAAGTTGTTAATGAAGTATTTTTTTTTCTTTCTTTCTTTTTTCCCCTCACCCCCCTCCTCAGTGTTAATGAAATATTTTGTATTTTTTGTTTCTTTTTTCTTTTTTTGTAGTCTGTTTCAGTCTAATCCATATTTTGCATTTTTTTTTTTTTTTTTTTTTTTTTTTGAGACGGAGTTTCGCTCTTGTTACCCAGGCTGGAGTGCAATGGCGCGATCTCGGCTCACCGCAACCTCCGCCTCCTGGGTTCAGGCAATTCTCCTGCCTCAGCCTCCTGAGTAGCTGGGATTACAGGCACGCACCACCATGCCCAGCTATTTTTTTTGTATTTTTAGTAGAGACGGGGTTTCACCATGTTGACCAAGATGGTCTCGATCTCTTGACCTTGTGATCCACCCGCCTTGGCCTCCCAAAGTGCTGGGATTACAGGCTTGAGCCACCGCGCCCGGCCATATTTTGCATTTTTATTGTCTTCAAAATATAAATTCAAATTTTGCTTGCAAGATTTACTGCCAGCACCTTAAGAAAGGGAAGGGTTAGGCCGGGCGTGGTGGCTCAAGCCTGTAATCCCAGCACTTTGGGAGGCCGAGGCGGGTGGATCACAAGATCAAGAGATTGAGACCATCCTAGTCAACATGGTGAAACCCCGTCTCTACTAAAAATACAAAAAATTAGCTGGGCATGGTGGCGCGTGCCTGTAATCCCGGCTACCTGGGAGGCTGAGGCAGGAGAATTGCCTGAACCTGGGAGGTGGAGGTTGCGGTGAGCCAAGATCGCGCCATTGCACTCCAGCCTGGGTAACAAGAGTGAAACTCCGTCTCAAAAAAAAAAAAAAAAAAGAAAAGGAAGGGTTTTGCTCAGTGAGTTGCCAAATGGTAGCAAAAAAAAAAAAAAAAAAGAAGAACGGGGAGGGTTATTATAAAGCCACCCCCCTAACCTGGAACTACCTTAGCTCTAGAAATACCTGCTCTCTCCTTGGCCATATATGGCTCCTTTCATTCTTGGAACAAAATGCAAATTCTTTTACCATGGGTTACAAGACTCTGCATGATCTGGTCTCTGCTCTTTTTAACCCGATTCTGCACATTGCCCATCACTAACTGCTTTTCACATGGCCTGTCCTCTCCTTTCGTTTAGACCCAAGCCAAATGTTATTATCCTTAGTGAGGCCTACTTGTCTGAAGAAGCCATACCCCACCCCATCCAAATGGCAAGTATTCTTAAATTGAATTCAAATACCTCTAGGCTACATGTACTTTCCAATTTCCCACCACTCCCTATTATTAAACTTACAAAAATGAAGTAGCCTTTCTACTTCACTCATTTATTATCTTTAACATGCTCCTACTACATAATTATGGTTATTTCCTTCATAACAGTGCATTGTTATTATGAGTATCTATAATCCTAGCTTTAGTTATCTTTACTTTTTGGTGTCTGTATTACTCACTAGAACTGTGCTTTAAAATATGGCAGCCACTAGCAACATTGTGTCTATTAAGCCCTTGTGTTATGTTGTTAGTGTGGCTGAGGAACCAAATTTTACATTTTATTTGATTTTAATTAATTTGAATGTAAAAACCTGATAATTACTTCAATTACTGGAACTCAAGTATATTGGAACAATTTGAGTATGTGAATCAGCTTTTTCACTTATAAAATTTATTAAGTCTAAATACAGATCAGGTATTTCTGATGAAATTTTAGCATCCAAATTGAGATGTGCTGTGAGTACAAAATAAACACTATTTTGAAGGCTTAATATCAAATGCAAAATACAGATTAGACTGAGAAGGACCAAAAAAAAAAAAAAAAAAGAAAGAAAGAAAAACAAAAAATGCACAATATTTCATTAACAACTTAAAAATAGTGATTACATGTTAAAATAAAAATGTTTTTGACATATTGGGTTTAGTAAAATGTATTAGCTGGGCACAGTGGCTTATGCCTGTAATCGCAGCACTTTGAGAGGCTAAGGTAGGCATATCACTTGAGGCCAGGAGTTCGAGACCAGCCTGACAAACATGGCAAAACCCTATCTCTACTAAAAACACAAAAATTAGCCAGGCATGGTGGTGCATGCCTGTGGTCCCAGCTACTCAGGAGGCTTACGTACAAGAAGCACTTGAACCCTGGAGGCGGAGGTTGCACTGAGCAGAGATCGTGCCACTGTACTCCAGCATGGGCGACAGAGCGAGACTCTGTCTCAAAAAATACATATAGATATATATTGCTAGAATTAATTTACTGTTGGGCCGGGCATGGTGGCTCATGCCTGTAATCCAAGCACTTTGGAGGCCAAGGTGGGTGGATCACCTGAGGTCGGGAATTCAAGACTAGCCTCACCAACATGGTGAAACCCCATCTTAAAAAAAAAAAAAAGAATTAATTTACTGTTAACGTGGCTACTAGAAAATTTAAAATTTTATATGCAACTTGTCTCATATTTCTGTTAAACTGTATTAGACTTGACTTGTCAACTTGACAAGGCAGGGTGTTTTCATTCCTGTTTGCCAGTATACCCACTGCCTAGTGTGGTGTCTCACATACAGTAGTTGCCTAAAATACATTGGTGGAACAGATAAATTACTCAGTTTACTTGTATGGTTTCTGTTCACTCATAACACTAACTTATACCTGAATTTTGCCTGAAGACTTTTCAGCTAACCAGTAAATTCTCTTTAATGTTTCTTAGTTCAAGTTCCAGTTCAATCTCCTAATTTCTTTACCTTAATTGTGTACTACTGGAAGTTTATCAGCTTTTCTCAAAAGTAAACTGGAAGTTTTTGACAGATTTCTATTGCTTGAGTGGTAATCCTTCCCAGTACATGAATTGGTCACATTAGTCTCTTCTAGCTTTGAGAATTTGATCTATTTTAAGAAATTTCCTGGCTGGGCGCAGTTCCTCACATCTGTAATCCCAGCACTTTGGGAGGCTGTCGTGGGCAGATCACGTGAGGTCAGGAGTTCGAGACCAACCTGGACAATATGGTGAAAACCCGCCTCTACTAAAAATACAAAAATTAGCAGGGCATGGTGACAGGTACCCGTAATCCTAGCTACTAGGGAGGCTGAGGTTAGAGAATTGCTTGAACCCAGGAGGTGGAGATTACAGTGAGGGTGGAGATTGCAGTGAGCCGAGATTGCGACATTGCACTCCAGCCTGGACAACAAAAGCAAAAAATCCGTCTCAAAAAAAAAAAAAAATTTCCGTTGCCTTTGGTTGCACTTCATGGCACATGACAGGCAGTCTTCTGTGTACATTATAACTGTTTTCAGGTCCATACCATAGTGCAGTCTTTTAAAATAAGTTTGAAGTAATAATTAGAAATGTGTGTATAAGTTAAAATTTAAGTAGTTGTGATGTAAATAATTTAACTGGGGAAATGGTCAGATTAACACATACTTTTCTCAGTTCTATGAGTGTGGGGGAGTCACACAGAAAAACCCAAATACTTTCTACGTGTATTTAGCATTCTACATTAGCAGATGATAAGGGCCAGATCAAAAGTGTCTTTTAATTATTGTTGTAAAACTCATCCCTGACTTCACAAATGTTTAAACATGAGAAAACGGAGACCTGAGAAATGTGTGGTGTTAATTAGGTAAAGAGCAGGAGGAAAAATGGATTGGATGGAGGAGAGGGTATGTTGAATATATTTGGTAGTGAGCGAGCGAGCGAGAGAGAGACAGAGCCAGAGCGAGAGAGAAAGAAAGAGAAAGAAATTCAGTGTAACTACAGTTCATAATGAAAGGGTGGAAAGCTATGGGAAAAAGAAGAGAGCACTTAACTCTGCATTGTGGAGCCATATCAGCGTGGCCTTCTCATAACAGTGTTATTTGAATGGGGCCTTGGGATGAGTGGGAGGCTATGGGGCAGTGGAGAGAATGGGAAAAATTTGTTAGACAGAAGCAAGATATTAACATAACTCTCCACACTGGGATCCAAATAAGAACATCATAGAAGTCTTATCCTCTTTCAACCCACAGTACAGTTTTCTCTCACCTGTAGGCTGATGACTTCATCCGAGCAAATGCCACCAACAAGCTGACAGTCATAGCTGAGCAAATCCAGCATTTGCAAGAACAAGCCAGGAAGGTAAGGATTGACTTTTAGACAGGCTTTCGTTTTCTTTATTCAATTCTCATGATCGGCTGAACTTGTTTATAATCATTGTGACTTTCTATGTCTTTATTACCTCCTAGAAATGTAGTGGTGTTGAGTAAAATAGAAGGAATAAGCATAAGAGGTTAAGTATAAGTTTTTGTTTGGTTGGTTGTTTTTGAGACAGAGTTTCACTCTTGTGTCCAGGCTGGAGTGTAATGGTGCGGTCTGAGCTCACTGTAACCTTCACCTCCCGGATTCAAGCAATTCTCCTGCCTTAGCCTCCCAAGAAGCTGGGATTATAGGTGCCTGCCACCACACCAAGCTAACTTCTGTATTTTTAGTAGAGATGGCGTTTTGCCATGTTGGCCAGGCTGGTCTTGAACTCCTGACCTCAGGTGATCTGCCTGCCTTGGCCTCCCATGTTTTGTTTTTACCAGAAGGTTTCAAGAGGTAAAGCATTTTAACAGGGGACTATGTTTTCATTTATAAAAGAAATGTACTTAGCACAGAAAGTAGGAAAGAAACGTAAAAATTACCCAGAGTCATTGATGCTCAACATTTTGAAATACCATTTTTTTTTTTTTTCCCTGAGACGGGGTATCATTGCATCACCCAGGCTGGAGTGCAGTGGTGCAATCTCGGCCCACTGTAACCTCTGCTGCCTGGACTTAAGTGATCCTCCTTCCTCAGCCTCCCAAGTAGTTGGGACTACATGCACATGCCACCACACCTGGCTAATTTTTTGTATTTTTAGTAGAGACAGCATTTTGCCGTGTTGCCCAGGCTGGTCTGCTGAGCTCAAGCAATCCACCTGCCATGGCCTCCCAAAGTGCTAGGATTACAGGCGTGAATCACTGACTAGTTTGAAATATAATTCTTCTAAAGGCATTTTTACAGCATAGCAGCATAATCTTAATTTTTGTTTCTTCAGAATAATCTGGATCTCAATGAATCAGTAGTGATTGATTGCTATGGGGGAGCAAGATCCTAACCATTGAAAGTTTTCCAAATTTTAATTGGGATGATCACTGAATATGGGTGCCTTTTATCTCCAGTACCTAATTCATTAATCTCTGTGGTTCCTAGGTACTGGAAGATGCTCACAGAGATGCCGACCTGCACCATGTAGCTTGTAATATAGTGAAAAAACCTGGCAACATTTACTACCTCTATAAACGGGAGAGTGGTCAGCAGTATTTTTCCATCATTTCTCCGAAGGTAAGAATATACGTAGTTTGCCCAAAAATCTACTCTAGCCTCTGAGAAATTTTTGGTATACATGTGGTTTCCTAGAAAATGATGTGAGTCCATACATGACTTTAAAAAAGATAACTGTGCTTAAATTATTTCATTCATTTTCTCTATTTTTTTTTATTTTATTTTTTATTTTATTTTATTTTTTTTTTGAGGAGGAGTTTCGCTCATTACCCAGGCTGGAGTGCAATGGCGCGATCTCAGCTCACCGCAACCTCCGCCTCCTGGATTCAGGCAATTCTCCTGCCTCAGCCTCCTGAGTAGCTGGGATTACAGGCACGTGCCACCATGCCCAGCTAATTTTTTTGTATTTTTAGTAGAGACGGGGTTTCACCATGTTGACCAGGATGGTCTCGATCTCTTGACCTCGTGATCCACCCGCCTCGGCCTCCCAAAGTGCTGGGATTACAGGCTTGAGCCACCGCGCCCAGCTCATTTTCTCTATTAAGGGAGGGATCTGATGTGTACAGTAACTGCTTTCCAAAAATTGTTCTGACTAGTATGAAGTGCAAAGCCAAAAAGAGATGTGGCATAATTAGGAAATGAGCTATTGGATTGCAACCCACCCTGATGGGAACTGCCTCCTTTGCCTTCTCTAGGAATGGGGGACAAGTTGTCCACATGACTTCCTTGGTGCCTACAAGCTACAGCATGACTTGTCCTGGACTCCGTATGACGACATTGAGAAGCAAGATGCTAAAATCAGCATGATGGACAAGTTGCTAAGCCAGTCAGTGGCCCTGCCTCCATGCACTGAACCCAACTTCCAGGGACTGACTCACTGAGAGGAGGCTCTGACAAACAACTCTCACAAGACCTGGCTGTCACCTCCTTGTTGCCCTCTTGTTGCCTTGAGAATTGAGGGCATCTGTAGGTGAATCACAAACTTCTTGGAAAGAGACCCTGTGTGAATGTAAATGCTGTCATTATGACTTTTGATTGGGATGGTAATAATCACTGAGTTAGTCACTACCTTTTGGGATCGTCTCTGGGCCACAGATACCCAAGTCAGTCACTTTCAGAGTTTTGGCTAATGTACTTTCCTTCTTCCTCTCCATCTTTTCTTCCCTTAAGTTAAAGTGTTAGAGAAAGAAGAGTTTCTTCTTCCGGCAAAAAGTTTGGTGGATCGTTTTCCAAAGAGAACTGTTTTCTGTCTTAATAACCGGTAGTATTTAACATTTAGGGTTCAGGCTGTCTCACAGTTGGTGTAACTTCAGTTTCCAATTCATCTGGGCATGGGAATGTTGGGTAATGGAGGGTGATTTTAAAAAAAAAACTTGACTTGGCTGGACGAGAGAGTGTGTGATTCTGGGATTTCTGTGCCATCGATGAGGTTTGTCTTGCCCCTTTTGCTCTCTCTGCCTCGCTAGAGTGACGGAGAATCTGAGGCAGCAGCAAAGGCCGGGTTTGGGGAGCATCACCTTTGAAACTCACAAAGTTTAGACTTGGAAGAGACACTGGATGCTGCCACTTATCATTATCGAATCCACTCTGTAGTCTCCAGAGGAGGAGATCCCAAGCTCAGCCACCTGCAGCAGAACAACCCCATTTAAATGGCAACTTAAAAATACTGTGGAAGAGAGTAAGGCAGTAGAGTGAGAAACGAGAAGAACAGCCAAATTGTTGATTGCGAGTTAACCGGATTGAAATTCATTTTGACCAGAATTATTCAAGAACTTAGCAAGGGCTTTTGGCAAAATTACTGTAGTTCTTATTCCAACTGGGCTCTTATAGGACTTTACCTTCTTTCATATCTGTTCAATGGAATTAGCTAAGTTTATGGGTTATTTAGCATGGCTGTGCTTCCCTCAGTGCCATATAATCTATTGCAATATGCTGTAAAAGGAGGGAGAGATGTGTACTTGAACTGACAACCATCCAAGTTTCTGGGGATGGATGTTCCTTATGCTGATCTTCTTGGTAATACCCTGAGCCCCCCTACCCCATGCCCCCAACCCCTGCCCCAGCATTCGTGATCTCTCCTCATAAACTGCATTCCTTGTGCACTGTAAATGGTCCACCTAAGGCCTAGCACAGGATGGGCTAGACTCCAACAAGCTCACCCAGGTGATAGTTTGTTGCTCAGTTCACATGGGAATGTTCTTTGGACTCGTCTGCAGAAAGTCTTGCTGGGGTGCTGCAGAGCCAGAGGGAAGAGACATTGTGGTACAGTAGTGGATCCTGGCTACAGAAAGTTTCCCAGGTTTTCAGAAGGTTCTGACCTGCATGGTGATGACACATTTTGAATAGGTGCTTTATTAGTTATCAGATAAACAAATGACTATAAACTTAATGGTTTAAAGCAACACATATCTATTTCAGAGCTTATAGGTTAGGAGTTTAGATGCTATTTCATTAGGTCCCTTGCTTCAGGGTTTCTCTGAAACCCTGCAAGGCTGAAATCAAGTTATTGGTCAGGGCTGTTCTCATCTGAAGGCCTGATTGGGGAAGGACTGCTTCCAAGCTCACTTATATTGTTGGCAGAATTTCAGTTCCTCTAGGGTTGCTGGTTAGCTGACTGTTGTCCAGAGGTTGCCCTCACTTTCTTGCCACATGAGCCTCTATAACATGGCAGCTTTCTTCAGCAAAGTAAACAAGGATTAGAGTCTGCTAGCCAGATGAAGTTACAGTCTTATGTAGTCTGATCACAGAAGTGACATATCATCACCTTTGCTGTGTTCTGTTGGTTGGAAGCAAGTCACTAGGCCAGCCCATTCTCAAGGGAGGGAGTTATACAAAGGCATGGATACCAGAAGGCGGGCATCATTAAATCACTGAACAGAGTCTAGAATCTATCTGCCACAGTGCTCAGTTGGGAGGGAGAAAGGAAAATTCTAGGTAAAACAGGCAGTATCACAAAGTGGTTAAGTGTGATGGTGTCGAAGTCACAGATCTGGACTTGACTCTCACTCTGACAAGACAGCCTCCCAGCTGGCATCCCTGATTCCCCCTCTAACCCCTTTCCAGTCCATTTTGCATGCAGTCATCGGCTTGATCATTTGAAAATGCAAATTTCCTTCACCCTTGACATTTCCTAACCACAAGAGGGGGAGAGCAGTGATTGCAAAGAATCTGTTCAATAAGATGTACTCCCTGCATTTACCACCAAGGGGTATCATTGTTCTTTCCTGGTTAAGCCAATTACCATACTTGGGAAGGGCTAGTGGCAATGTGAGGTGATTTAGGTTACCTCAGAATAGGGAACTAGGACCCAGTGATTATGTACAGTAATCACTTTTTATTCACCAATCCATCTGTTCACGTGATAATTTCATAGTATTAAGTGCCTTCTAGGTTCCAGGTTCTGGGGAATAATAGAGCTGAATAAGAAATCACTATTTCCAAGTTCTGGGGACTAATAGAGCTGAATAAGAAATCACTATTTCCGCCGGGCGCGGTGGCTTAAGCCTGTAATCCCAGCACTTTGGGAGGCTGAGGCGGGTGGATCATGAGGTCAAGAGATCGAGACCATCCTGGTCAACATGGTGAAACCCCGTCTCTACTAAAAATACAAAAAAGTAGCTGGGCATGGTGGCACATGCCTGTAATCCGAGCTACTCAGGAGGCTGAGGCAGGAGAATTGCCTAAACCCAGGAGGGGGAGGTTGCGGTGAGCCGAGATGTGCCATTACACTCCAGCCTGGGTAACAAGAGCGAAACTCCATCTCAAAAAAAAAAAAAAAAATCACTATTTCCAAGTTCTGGGGACTAATAGAGCTGAATAAGAAATCACTATTTCCAAGTTCTGGGGACTAATAGAGCTGAATAAGAAATCACTATTTCCAAGTTCTGGGGACTAATAGAGCTGAATAAGAAAATCACTATTTCCAAGGAGCTCACAGTGTAGTAGCAAAGGAAACAAGTTCACAATTACAAGATGCTCTAAGAAGGGGTGTCATAGAGGTATGCATGGACACTGTGGAACTCTGGGGAAAGGTTCCTTACTGAGCTTGGAGAATTTGGGAAGACTCTTGGAGGACCTGATGCCTGTTTGGTGTTGAAGACCATACAATTAGAACTTTCTGGAGGCTCCAACTGCCCTTTCATAGGAAGTTTGTCTTTTGGGGGTTAGAGTAGGGTTCATTTTTGGATGGAGTTTGTGAATGAAGAAAGGGACATTCATTTAAGCCATATCAACCAAAGCAATCCTGGGGGTTAGAGTAGGGTTCATTTTTGGATGGAGTTTGTGAATGAAGAAAGGGACATTCATTTAAGCCATATCAACCAAAGCAATCCTGGCCATGAGAGTGGTGGAGTGAGATGTGTCCTGGCTAGAAAATCCTATGTCTAAAAGCTAGGAGATAGAGGAATAGGGGAAGATGTATTCCAGACAAAAAATAACATGGAAGGGACATTGACCAGAAGTGATATGACATTTGGGGAATTGCCAGTTAAACAGGAGAATGTGGACTGTTGGCTATGGGAGAAGAACTATGGAAGGATTTGGGCTTGGTGATATTGGCCATTAGAAATATCATTATGGCAGCAGAGGTTGGGTAGAGGGAAGATGGGAGCTTTCATCCCTAATGAAGGCAAGGGATGATGGGAGTCTGAACTAAGCAGTGGTAGAATGAGAGGGCCTGAATTTCATCAGTTGCAAGGTGTACTCTTTCCCCTCACATTTTAGTATTTCTCAAACCTGTACACTTCTAAAAGTCAGTGGCATGTCGCAGTTTAAATGGTATTTTTTCTTTCTTAGAGCTACATAAAAGAATCATAACAGCATCTTAGATTTGATGACGCATAGCATTTTGAAAGTACAATAGATTGCCATCTTGTTAATAAAATGTCAGAGGGATGAGAGGAAAGACTTAGGTGATACTTGAATTTCTGTCTTGAGTGTCTGCATTTATTTATTTATTTGTTTATTTATTTTTGAGACGGAGTTTCGCTCTTGTTACCCAGGCTGGAGTGCAATGGCGCAGTCTTGGCTCAACGCAACCTCCGCCTCCTGGGTTCAGGCAATTCTCCTACCTCAGCCTCCTGAGTAGCTGGGATTACAGGCATGTGCCACCATGCCCAGCTAGAGTGTCTGCATTTAATAGTGGTGATCCACTCAACAAAATATGGAGGAGGACATCCCTGATATTTTCTAGAATAATTGGTGATGTATATTTGCTTTGATAATCCACTTTCTTGGCCCTTCCCAAGTTACTGGATGTGGGTAACAGCTGACTGTAGCTCCCTTTCTTGCACACTAGTGCTCTGGAAGGAGGAAGGGAGAGCTAGCTTGTATCTTACTTCTCAAGTTACCAGTCCACAAACATGAAGAGTATTAGTGTTACAGATACAAATAGGTAAGTACTGTCTTAGTGAACTTTTATTCTGCTAAGTGTATCCATTATCTCTTTTAATCTTCACATAACCCACGGTCTATGAGGTATATAGTATTATGTTACAGAGCAGGAACATCTCAGAGATTCTGAAACTGGCCCATGGTTATACAGATGGTAAATGGTAGAGGTCAGATTCAGACACAGTCCTGTTTATTTTGAGTCTGACCATAACCTTAATCCTGATTGGGCCAATTAAGACAGTTGTAAAGGATCTTAATATAGAGCTATAAAGAAAAATCACAAAAGTGATAGAGTTTCTTTTTTATTTTTTTGAGATGGTCTCACTCTGTTACTCAGGTTGGAGAAGCAATGGCTTGATCATAGCTCACTGCAGCCTTGGACTCGCTTCAAGCAGTCCTCCTGCCTTAGCCTCCCAAGTAGCTAGGACTGCAGGCATGCACCAACATGTCCAGCTAATTTAAAACAATTTTTTTGTAGAGATGAGGACTCACCATGTTGCCCAGGGTAGTCCCAAATTTCTGGTCTCAAGCAGAATAAGATGTTTATGTGAGATATTATAGGAGAAGTTCACTTGAGCGTTTAGTGATAGATATGCAGAAGATATATATCAAGGTACAGAGAAATAACTTATTTAATGTCATACAACTTATAAGCAATTGAGCCCATATCTGTGGCATTAAAGCCTGGGTACAGAACCTTTATCAGAAGATAGGGTTCATTTCTTCCTTTAAGGAGCTGGAGCTTGGGAATAAGGAACTACAGTGTGCCTGGAAAATTTTCATTTGTGTAGTCTTAAGCATCAGTTGATTCAGTGGACCAGTCTGTACTTGAAAGTTTTTTTC